ACTGCTAGATGCTTCTGCAACAGCAGACTGCATAAGAGCACTCCAGGTACCACTCTGATTTGAAGAATAAGTGCCCATAAAATCTGCATGCTCTCTGTTACTATCAAAGCCTGCTAGACCCACATTACTTTGTTGACCAAGAGATGATCCCCAACAGCTGTCATCTGTGTTGAATAAAATTTTCTCTTCCAAAGGGTCCAGTGAAGTTGCAGTCTTTGATGTTTTCCCTGCAGAGGGTAGACAGCGACCAGCTTCTTGTTGTCTCAAACCAGATTTATTCATTCCCGTATGAGTTTGAAGGGCATGTTGTTGCTGAAAGCTAGCAGGTCGAACTCCATCAGCTGAAGCATGCAAGAGAAGTCGTCCAAACATATTCCTATCTTCAGTTACATTTTGGGAGACAAATGCTTTATCTGAAAAGCACACTTTCTGTTGAGATGCATTGAATTGCTCATTCCCAAGAGAGTTGTTGATAGTTGATGAGTGCATCTCTGGTATCTCCCATTGGTTATTATTGCCCCTGTTCAACATACTGGCAGAACTATGTGATGCTTCTTGGATATGAAAGTATGGATTCCTATTATTCCCTAAGCTTGCAATAGGACTCCCACATAAAGACGCATCAAATTGCTCTGGTAGTACCCCATTTGAACCAATGGCCTGACCTTGAGCTTGTGAAAAAACCAATCCATTAGGAACCCTTTGCATAATTGGTGATGTGCCATGTTGCATCAAGTTAATGTCACCAACCATAAACATTTGTGATGTATCATGGACAGGCATTCCATTCATTGGAGGGGGGTGAAGACCAGCAGAAGTCTGTTTAGTTAAAAAAGGTAACTGACTTACAAAGCTGTGTTGCCTTGCATCACTTAACTCCCGAAGTTGCTGCTGGTGCTGCATTTCCTGCAGCCGTTTGAACAGTATCTGCCTCTGCAACATCTGTGTATCTGAGGTGGTGGCTTACAATGTTGTCAAGAGCACCTATAAGAGAAGAAGAAGAAATAATCGAACAAGGAGGACATCTCAAGCTTTTCGTTCCTTAATAGAAGTTTTATCTCATTACAACTCAAAAGAGAATGGTTCGTCCATAGTAATTCATAAATGCGAGCCTTTCATAAAGAGGCTTGCCAATACAAGTTTCCCATTTTTCCCACTAAACTTTGGCTTAATTTTTAGCATCCAAAATCAACTTTGCCCATGAGAAAAGCCCGTCCAATCTAGAGTTGACATACAAAAGCTTAAAGCAGATACTGCTTTTGGCAAAACCAACTGTCTCCACTACAGATTCTGCAAAACAACCAAAACTAATCGAGTAAATAAATCTTCTCTTAAGTTTTTTTTTTTTTTTTTTTTTTTTGGTTTTGGTATTTTGGGGGTGGGGGAGTCCATTTGCTACCACATACATGCAAAAAAGGAAAAAAAAAACAGAAGGAAAAAAAAAGCTAATAATGTGGCCTACTATTCCCCACTATGATACTATGGTGCTTGTGAAAATGAATGAGATTTACTTGCAAGTTCAAATTTGAGTGGAAATTTGAACTGCCGCAAACCAATTACAGCACAGAAAGAACTGTTTAGCGACAAGACTCTCAATTACTATACTGAGAGTCTTTTCTAGCCAAAAGCAGCAGAGTTCGCGTCTTCTATCATTATATCAAGTTTTTTTGAAACATAAAGATCGAAAATATCATTATTTTTAGGAACTATGGTTTACAATCAGAAATTCGATCATGACTCTACCACATTACATACCAATAAGTATCGTTCAATGCGACAAAAAACTAGCAAAGCTCATTAAACGTAAATAACAGGCTTGTCTATAAAGTAGCTAAATTTAGCTCTACATGATTCAACCCCAGAAATCTTCAACTAGTATTGCCATCAAAGCACGAAAGAAACCTCCGGAATTTTTTATTTTATTTTTTTAAAAGACACATGCAACTGCAACAATGCATTAAACATCTAAAAGATATCCTTTAATTACATCAATTGGCAAAACCACCGCATACCATCCAACTACGAAGCCCTGAAGTACCAGAATGAGTAACCAAAAAAAATTTTTTTTAACACCTTGGAAACAAAAATTCAAAGTTCATTTCACCATAATTAACAAAAGAAAACCACACAGAGAAGCAGTAACAACCAAAATTGCACCACAATCACAAATAAAAACAAAAAGGGTCAGCATATAAAAATAATTAACTCAAGATAAAGCTCAAAACTTGAGATTAAAGCAGTAAAGTCAGTAACTTTAAGCCTGTATGACTAAGTATTCAGTGATCTGTGTAAGAAATTCAGGTGGGTTCTGTTAATGAAAGTGCTTTTTTAACTCACTTATAAATGGAAAATCAGCAAAAGCTCCATTTTTTTCGGCTTGCCAACAGTAGAGGAAAAAATGCTTCGCCTTTCTCTGCTTATTTACATATACACTACATAAATGTATAAAGTTATACAGCTTTTTCTTCTCTCTCTAAAGATAAGTAGTGTGCTTTGCAGAGAGAGTTGAGCTCTCTTTCAGACTGGGCTGAAGATAAAGGGACCAAAGCAGCGTGAAATATCATATTACATTAAATATTTTCAAGAACCGAAAACGAAAAGACCAAAAAGAAAAAAGAGAAAGAGAAAGGCATAGGCTCGGACCAAGCCTAGAGATTCGGAGTGGGGCTCGGTATTTGGAGGCTGGGGTAATAAATGGTGAGAAATGTCGGCGTGTTTCCACTATGTATGCGGACGCGGTGTACTGACCGTTGGATTCAGATATTCAATGGTTGAAGAGAATGACTTGTAAATGTAGCTTTGCAGTCGCGGAGTACGGGGCATTATCTTGGCTTGCGAAGGGCAAAAAGGCTGGGCGCTGGGTGTGGTGGTACACGCGCTCTCCTTCAATCGTGCACACCGCTTCTCTTTCTTTTGAGAAGGCCTAGTGTATTACTACTATTTTTTATTTCTATGGAATTTTCGGGAGACGTTTTCGAGCATGAAATTCTTTCTTTTCTTCTCTTTTTTCGGTTACTAAATATCTTTTTTTTTTTTTGTCCGGGGCCATTGATTTGAGTTTATTTTATATATATATATATATATATACTGACAATATATACACTATTACATGTAAAAAAATGATATTCAAATTAAAAATGAAATTAAGTGACATGCATCCCAAAATATAAATATATATTCTATCAGTATATACAATATTAAATTTTTTTTTGTTTAAATATCATCTTGAACCTATGAAGACTAATTCAAGCCCACAAGAAAACAATTAATCTCTTGTTGTTTTCTAGTATTAATTCAGAGAAAATGGCATTGGATACTAGTACTATTTGGAACCATGCGATGTAGAACGTCCAACTCTTAGCTTTGTTATAGAAGTAATAATAAAAATTAATCTAAGCTGTCATCATATGTTTCCAAAGAGAGAGAAAAAGAAAAAGAAAAAATATGTGCCCCTAGCACTCACTAGTGCCGATACTTCAAGCATTCATACCAGAGAGTCGAGTGGCCTACATAACGCACATGGGCTGGGCTTTGATTGTCCGGCCCAAACCAGAAACAAGCCAAATAATCATCATTATTGCTTTCTTACGCTATTTGTGCATGTAATTACACTACATATGAATATTATCTTGTGTTTTCTTCACAGTGCATATGAATATGTTTCTGTTCCAAGACAAATGGAAATAATTTTGAATTTTGATTATGTGCCAACAAAACAAGCGCCATGCCAAAATTGCTTCATACTAACATGTTGTTACTCTTTGACCCCAAAAAAAACCATCTTAAATGTGTTGTCTTCACGGTTGACTGTAGGTCGAAACCGCATGCTTGTTTGCTGTCAATGGATCCAGTTTAAAAGGGCACTGAAAATGAGGGCAGGAAACTGCAGTTCGTTCAAGCAGTCACTTCCTGAAAAATGGAACAAATGTTGCAGGAGTATTTATTTACTTAACTTACGTTTCAGTTCAGGTTCGCCATCAATTACTAACACAACTCACTGGGAAAAAGATGCAGTACGTACGCACGCACGCACGCACGTACGTACTACTTGCTTCATTCCATGCATGCATACTTGCATAGATGCAGGAGGGGATTCACTTTTTAATAATCATAAAACTGATCATCACATCAGATTCAGAACCAAAGCGAAAGATTCTCTGCTTTCTCGCTCGCTGCTCCTCCGCCAAGGCAGGAACAGTCGTCAATTCTAACCTTTTTCCGAAGGCATGCATAATAAGGCCCTTTCCCCATATTCAACTAATCTCCAAGTTATACATTGAAGCGGAATTTTTTTGTTCTTGAGTTCTTGAGTAGTAGTTATTATTACAGTGTATTAATACCACCTTTTTATTGTCACTGCAATATTTTCTTGTATGCTAATATATATGGGTGGGGATAGCCTTAGTTCTTGACGGTTCCACAATCATCATTTCAGTCTTCAAACGGATGAACTCCCTTCATTTGTTCCAAAAGGGATTTAGATATTTGGAGCAATTCTTGGTGAATGAGTTTGAATGAATGATCTGGACCGAATATTTATTTTATTGTTCTGGAGAGAGAAATAAATTATCAGTTTACTAGACCACAACATATATATGGAAATTGTTTTATTATTAATTGATGTAATGAAGGCAGTTAATTGAGCAGGTTAAATGATGTATTTCAGCAGACGTAACATAGGGAATTCATGAAAGACACTAAAATGATTGGATGGACTAGTTACCGATTAGCACATTTGATATATCAACTATGGTTGCTTAGCTCGCAAAGCAGCACATGGGGATGTAGCTCAAATGGTAGAGCGCTCGCTTTGCATGCGAGAGGCACGGGGTTCGATCCCCCGCATCTCCAATTTCTTTTTTCTCCCCTGCAAAGTGCTCTATATACACAGGCCTCCTGTAGAAACTGCAGCAACAGCACTGGAAGATGCAAAAATGTTAAGCATCTTATCATCCAGACGCCCAACTGCTTATACCATCATAACTGGCCTTTACTTTTTATCATTCAGGCATGTATGTATTCTCGAATTTTATTGCGTGACGAACGAAGGATCCAGAACAGATTTATCAGTAGCAATAACAGTTTGTTGTAGTACTAATTTCTTGGTCCATACACAAAGTACAATTGCAATAACTAAAACTAAAATCTGATGCTACTACCGTCTCAACCACAACTGGTAGTCTGAGCCTTTGTCCACAAACTTGTCCCAGCTCCCATCCAAATGAACCTCCTTAAAAGGGTTCCAGTCCAAGTACCCAAGCTTCAAAACCAGTGTTTCTCCAATTTGTGCTACATACCCATCATTATTTGCATGGTATATCTTTACAGGACTTCGACAATGGATCCCGGCCCTTGTTCGAGATTCAATTAATTCGCTGATGATCTCCCGAAGCCCAAAATCGTAAAAGTGATCATAGAATATCACAGGCTGGGAAAAAAATTAATAACAATAGAAGAAGACCAAAGAGTTAGTTAGAACTATCTTCTGGATCATATCCAAAGTCAATAATGAACGTATTGAGGAAATTACCGTTCCTGGATGGGTTAAAATATATGCATATCCCTGCGTAAGCTTGTCCCGGGGAAATGGCCAATGACCCTGAAAGAAAACAATTCCAATAATATTTGCAGACGTATACACTGCTGATACCTGATTGTTAAATCTTTCCACAAATAGGTAACACATGATTCACTCGACAAAGATTCAGGATGAATCATTTAACTACTACACAAAAGGTTACGTCATAAATTTGCAATATATGTCTTCGCTAACAAGGCCAACGAAAGATGCACAAGTACAAATATTCACTATAAAAAAGGGTCGGGAGCCTTGCACTGATATAGATCGAACCCCTATCTACAGTTGATCTTTACTGCTTTACAGATTCAAGAGCTCAAAATATCTCAACAAAATAGTTGATCATTCTGTCTCACCGCGTGAGCATGTCTCTGTGTGTTGTGCGCATAAGAGAGAGAGAGAGAGAGAGATGTACCTGTGTCGATCCAGTATCATGATTCTCTAAGAAAGTTACGGTACGTGAGGGCCACCATCCCATTACTCCTGTTGGTTTTCCTTGAGGATCAATTAACCTCCAATACTGATTATGCAGAGCAGAATGGAGTATACCCTGCAGAAAACTCCGAAAACACAGAAATATGACTGAATATAAACCAATTAATATTCTACGATTACCAGCCATAATCATGAATCAGAAAGAAGACATCAGCCTTGTCATAGAACATTTACGTCATCACACAGGTTTAAATAAATACTCTCTGATAAGAAAATATGTATCTGAAACTTAGGCTTTCAAATTTTTAAGTAAGACTCACCAAACACCTGACACATTGCAGCATCAAACAAAGCAAGGCAAAAGGAAGTTGCATATAAAACATTTAATTTGAATATGACGGCTGGGGAAGAAAAACATGAAGGAGTCTCAAGAAAAAGCACCTTCGTTGTGACGTCGAATGCTGAGGATATACCACCAGTGGCATTGATCCAGTTAACTATCCTTTGCCGATGAGCATCTGCACGTGTGAATCGTGATTGCCATGAAGAAATCAGCATGAATTTGGAAGTGACTCTTCAAAGTTATGCGATTTGAGACTAATGCAATATTTGAACTATTATACACATAGTAGGATCAAAACAAACTATTATACTAGCACATGTAAAAGCATGTGATGCAGAATAAAAGAAAGAAGTGAATCAGATATGTGTGATAAGTTCCGATTATAAAATGCACCTCTAAAGTTGACAACTAAAGAGGGCGTAAAAAGGTTAATTCTAACTCTGAATGATAAAACCATGTTTAACAGCTTCCCAATCAAATGAATTACATGGCTAGGTGGTGAGGCTGTACTGCTATTAGGTAGTACAGCTTGTCAGTGTCATCTTCTTTAATTTTATTTTTACTTGGGTTATGGGACTGATAGCATGTTGGAGCTAAATTAGGGCATTAATTTGCATGAAGGTCCTATCAGGCTAAAAGTATACATCACGACAAGTTAAGGTCTTTGACAAAGGGATTGCATGAATATATGTGTGTGCGTGTGTAGATCCATCAGTTGACCCAGGTTCTCCAAAACTCCAAGCAGGACAAAACTTCCTTATTTAAAGCTTGAACTCAAGGGCTTACCCTGGTTATAACAGAGATTACCACCTTCATAAGCCAAGCTATCCCAGTACTCTCCAATAGCAAAAGCAGGATTCGAAGCCTCTATATATTCTTTGACATATTCACCTGCAAATCCTCTGCCCAACAAGAAAGCATTCATGGTGTGAAAAAGAAGTTTTCAGAACTTGCTGAACTTGTCGACTCTAGAAATTTATAAAGATCCAATATATATGCCTTTGTGCTTTGTTACAGGACCGAACCTTGCAGCATTCATCAGGGTTTTGTCCTAATGCCCCTCTCAAAATTATCATCAAATTACTAATACGTTATACAACCAATTCTTTGGTACAAGAAGAAATGATTACTTGCTACCCAGCCTCAAGATCTGATGTTGTTCGATGAAAAGGCTTGTACTTTAAGCAGAGTCCGTTATATTACTGAATGCAACTATTTATGTATGCAAAATATGTTATATTGCTTAACAAATGCTCTTTAAAAGAGGCCGTGAGATAATGCCTTAAAAAGAACATATCAGACAGCATAGCAGACTATTGCACGAGATAAAAGATATGTTTTCTTTTCCTAGTTCCATGCTTGAACGCCCAAAACAAGAGGGGAAGGCAGGGGAAAATAAAAAAGAAAACAATGAACATGGTACATGAGAAGTCCAATGTACTTGTAACACATTCACCTAACAAAATCTAGCCGCCACCCGTCAAAACCAATATCATTCCGGAGCCAGTTTAGCCACTCTCTTATATCCTTTCTAACAAAGTCCTGGGAATGATCGATGTTTGGCGCCGCATGAAAGATGTCACCTGCTCCACCACAAAAAGCATGCAAATAAATATCATTAGCACCCTTTGGCTAAGTTATTAGTTTGCACATTCATCATATCACCAGCTTACAAAAGATATAACATCTGATGTCATTCTTTTCCAAAACAGATCATTAGAAGGATGCTTAGCAGAAAGTACATCACATTAACCCTTCCTATACATTCCAAAAGGTTATATTCAAATCCCGGTTTGATATTGTTACTTAGGAGTTACAGTACGAAGTCTGAATGAAAATCAGAGACCATGCATTGTCAAGGTAACTCTAGCTCAGAAAGCATCCTCTTTTCATGCTTGACTCTGGAATTCAATATTGTCCTTCAGATAGCTCCAACTTAACAATTTCATTTAATTGAGGAATATCACAAGACATTTGAAACAAATCTTTATCGGTGAAGACAAAGAGATCCATTACAATCCAAACCGTAAAAATGGTTCAGTCTACCAAAGGCATCAAGTTAACCTCAAAAGAAACAATAGACTGGAACTTTTGTTACTGTAACAGTAACATCTCCAATTTCACACATATTCTTCATCTTGATTTGCTACACACATTCTCCAGTTCATAAGCTCGTTGGTGCAACTCCTCCTTCATGACATGGTAACAAACATGAAACTACAACGTATGACAACAAACACTTCTATTGACCAAGACAGTCCAATATAGGCTACTAAAATATTGACACAAGTAGATTATTTCAGACAGGACTTCTGTACTTTTTCCCCAAAACAAAATATTACACAATATATGCATTAAAATGTGAATAACTCTCAGGACAGAGCATTATCTTCGTCATACTGAGGAATCCATCACTTAACTCATTGAAACACAGACGACAACATCTACTACACTTTGAAAGATCTAACAGCAACCAATTTCACTGGTAGTTCAAATGAAAGTAAAATTTCGAAACCACCTCATGGATATTAAAAGAAGTACAAGACCAATATATAGCGAGGTGTATAACAAATTTGAATAAGCACAATTATTTGTGTCAACACACAGCTGCAAGGACCTAACCTATATCATTTGCAATGGACAAGTATGATTCCATATACTGGAAAAGAAAGTGTCAACAGTACCAGAAACAAGTTTCTATTGAGATTTCTGTACCACTTGAAGGATTTCCATGCCCTTGGAAATTTGGGTCATCACAAACAATTGCTTCAGGACCCCATGCAAGCTTGCCCCCAAATATATTCCAGATGCCATTTGGACTCTGTGATGAGAAAGTACTAATGATGTTATGGCATTTTAGCAACCATCATGTAGTTTAACCAATTAGTCCACCCTGAGTCTTCACCATGATCAGTACAAGTGCAGTTATCAGGAGAGATAGAAAGACAGAGGTAGATAGAAAGACAGATGCAATGATAGAGAGGAACTTTGTATGTTACATTCAGCATATTAACATGAACCCAGTGTGTTTTCCCCCTAATTGGTGTAGGATACAAGTCATAGAAGGTTATTGACAATACAAATCATAAAGGCACTGTGGCAAAAGTAGGTAAACAGATCTCTTGGTTTATTATTGGATAAGCCTGAGGAATGATCTTTTGCACTGCCACTATAAAGCAAATATCAGAAATGTCATTAATAGTAATAGCCCGTATATCACATTCTATGCATCATTGACTTACTCAAGTAACAGAGAAATTTCAGTATATGCCGATAAACAGCAATAGAACCCATAAAACATATCAAGCAAAGCTGTCTCAGTTTAGAAAATTAATTAACTCAAGATGCAATCATATCACAGTTTCCTGATGAATTCGATAATACGTCAGTTACTTAATTGAGCATACCTCATTAAATAACTAAACAATCAGGAATGAAACTGTGTCATGGTTTTCTGACAAACTAAAAAAAGATTTGTAAAACAAGAGTTACCTGTTTATGAGCACATCTGTGGTTCAGTACAACGTCTCCCAAGGCCTGTGAAACATATGAAATACAACAATTAGCAAGTTTAAGTATGAACTTAAAGTATACTGAAAGCCAACCTTTTTCCTTGAGTATATAGCTAATTACCTAATTAAAGACATCACTGACAGAGAGTGCCTACGTATATATTCAATCATACAACACAAGAATCAAATACTCAAACATACGTAATTCTAGCAGCTGAAAAACATCTGAGTGCTGTAACTCATATTGTGATGGAAATTAAATTGTTAATCAACCAGACAAACAAATAAGTCACAAATTTCCAACAAAAACACCAATTTGTAGTCCTCATACATACCAGGAGATCTTGGTTATGCATTTCAACAATGCAATGCTTCAGCTCTTCCTCAGAACCATATTCTGAGTTCAAGTTGTAAAGATCAGAAGGCATATATCCTGCATGACATATTAACCCATTGACAAAAGTTGCATACATACAAATAAAGAAAGTAATCCCTGTACATTTTCATAATTTCATGAACATGGAATAAATAATGTTGTAATATATCAATAAAAATTTCCACAAGCTCAAAAGAATGCTTAGTGTTGAAAACAGTGAACACATCAATTAGACAATACTCCATTATTCCACCTTAAGGACCATGGCACCATCACGTTTGAAAATAATTTTGAAAATTCAACAGAATTTCTGCATTTCAAGTCTAGGATAAATTAGAAAGGTAATAACCTTGTGGAGCAACTGATTCCGTTGGAGGCGGCAACCATACAGCTGTAATACCAGACCGGGACAAATCAGCAGCTTTAGCAGCAAGCTCAAGGTACCACCTCTTTCTCCAGCTTTCCCAGTTAAACCCTTGGAACTTGAACCAAACGAATTTGATAAGATAAAAGACATTAAACATCAAAGATCATAGCAGGTCCACGGAAGAATATCACCTAGTGGAATAAAAGTAAGCAGAAAGAATGTTTGTAGAGCAAAATTCTACAGTGAGGGTATTTTGTATCACCGGCATCCCAACAAGAAGACTAAACAAGCTATGTAACTTCTCAAATTCACTGTTTACTCAAATTAAGTAAATGAACCATCAAAAGAAAAATCTGAGAAGGAAACATGCAGATTAAAAGGCCAGACATAGTTCATGAAACAGGCATCGTTTCAAATATTATTCCTGAGCTATAACTACTGGAAGCGGTTGTAGTAGAAAACTCACCACAATCTCTCGTCCAGTTCCAGTTCCAGGCTCTGCATTCAAAAGAAGTAAGGTTAAGTTTTTTATTTTTTGGGCATGATAAAAAAATTATTGGACAAGTTAATAAACAAAATTTTGTGATTCAAGAGAGCACACCTAACTTTATTTCTTCTGGAGTCCTCTGCCATTTAATTGTCTTCCGTTGAAGTGCACGTTCTAAAGCCTTCCGCTTTTTCTCTATAACTTCTTTCTCAAGGACGTGCTCCACAAGTATGTCACCTTCCTTTGGCTTTTCTTTAGCAATTGACCATACTTCATCTAGCCTGGGCAAGTCCAAAGACATAAACTTGGATATCTCAGCTTCTGAGACATCAGTCTTTCTAGGTGGAAACTTGGGAAACTTGGATAAACTTCGGGCCATCCAATCCGGTATGTCTCTGCGAGGACCATCAGTCAGTAGTTTCCATTTTTGTGAATCCTCATCCATCAGGAAATCCAAACGTCCACCATTGACAACATAAAATGCACTTTTGTCCTCCTCACAGGGGGATCTCTGGTTCATTAACAAGGCCTCTGCTATTTCTGCTCTTTGTCTCCACGTCTTTGAAGCAGCTTCAGATGCTCTTAGAGATCTCTCTAACGCTTCACATCTCTTCATGTAGGCGTCATCTTGGAAATGTGCAGTTTCTTTAGCTGCTTCAATAGCAGCCTTGATAGCGTCCAACTCAACCTTAAGAGCCTTCGAAGCTGCCCTCTCTTTTTCCACTGCATCCTTCTTAATCTTTTCCAAAAATGATTTGACTTCCTCCTCTTGTTGAAGAGCTGCTTTCTTGCTTGACTCTTGAAGTTCAAAAAAGGCTTTCTCAGCTTCACTTACTTGGTGTTCAAAAGCACTACATCGTTGATGGGCCTGTTCCAACTCCAACTGTAACCTGTTAATCTCATTGCTCGAAACTATTAAACGTGACTCTAAGTTATTGATGTCATTTTGTAGCTTAATATTTTGAGATTGAACGTACAAAATATCATCAAGAGGATTCATATCATCTGTAAATAAAGCCATGGCTTTAGTTGACTGATCACCAGCTGATTCTGCAACAGCTAATGCTTTCTCTATTGCAATTTTAGATTGCTGCACAATGGAAAATATTGTCCCCTCTGTGGCATGCAGGATTTGTTCTTCAATTTGATATGCTGCCTCTGCAGCAGCTGTTTCAGCTGCTGAAACTTTCAATTTTGCATCTTCTAATATGTGAGATGTTGCTTGCTGGAAAGCTATTTCTGCCAACTTTTCAACTTGCACAGCAAGCTCAAGAGCATCTTGTTTGGCAAGGACCAACTTAGACTCCAAATTGAACTTCTCCCCAACAGACTGCTCCAACTTCTGATTGAACAGAGCTTTTGCTGCCTCAAGCTCTGCAATGGCCACCTCCTTATCACGCATGATAGTGGCAACATACTCCTGCTGCTTAGCCTCAGAACGAGCTAATTCTTCAAGTAATAAATCTCTCTCTTTCTCAATAGCATCTTGTCTGGCTCGCGCCTCAGCTAGAGCATTTCTAGTTGCCAGAATTTCATCTTCGTCAGCCCCTATAACTTCACTCCTCCCCGATGCATCGCCATCGCTATCATCTAGAACATCAGCAGAAGTCCCTCTTGAAGCACCCTATCATTGAGAAGAATTTTGGAGACATAGACAATTCACAATTTAACAGCTGCCACTTATTCACTTTAGCAATCTTTATTAGCAATTGCTCTATTTAAACATGCTTCTTGAGCAATAAGACGTTTCTTGGAATGAAATTTTAGAAGATAGCCATCCTAACAGTTCATGCTGTCAGTTTGGTGCTTGTAAAGATCTCTTTTCTACTATAGAATGCACCAAACTGAATCTGTGACCCCGATAACATGTTTCAACACGTTTTGAAATTAGCTGGCTTATCGCGATTCTTTATACATATTAATCATGTAGCTCATACACAAATACGGGCATAAAGCATAAACCTTTTCTTCTCATAAATCAAGAAACCACAACAAAATTAGTAGAAAGCACAAGGTCATGACCTATAACAGCTTACCGTTCTCGAGAGAGGAGTAGTCCTTAGCTTACGCTGCAAACCATCTGAATAACATGTTTTCCTACAAAATATGATGCATTAAATAGATAACTCGTGTATATAGAAACATCAATTAGAAGCCAATTATTATGTATGAAGGTAAAGAGTTTTGCTTGTTCAATACCTGTTTCTGTTCACAGGATAAATATTTCTCTTATTAAGTACAAGATAAGATATGCGGCCACAATGCACCCCAGATGAAACTACGGGAGTGGGTTGATTTAGCAAAGAAGCCCTCAAATTTACTGTCTCGGACAATGAAGCTGCACCCATACCGTCCTGCCATCAAAGAAATATTTAATTCATAATTCTGGAAAGTATCAGTTCTTGAAAATCACCAATAAAATAATAAAAAGCTATAAGCAGCCCATCCAAAAAAAAAAAAAAAGAATAAAAGTGAAACTAGCGCATTTATGATTTGACGGAGGATAAAACATTAAGGGAATACGTTTTCCGACCGGATGATTTCTCCAATCTCAAATGCCTAACTTTTACATCATTTGGACATGAGAAGAAGATTCTGAAACTAGTATTAAAAGAGAGAGAGAGGAAGAAGAAGAAAATGCCAGTAAAAAGGAGGTAAAAAAGTACTACTAGTACCAGTATAATGACTGGTGCTTTGCTAATTGTAGCAGAGTGCAAAGAAGCATGGATAGAACTCCACTTGTGGGAGAGAGGAGCAGTAGCGACTAGCGAAGCGGGAGAAGCCTCGCCCTGGCCCACGCTGGCCCCGAGGAAAAGGCATCGTGTGCTTCCTATAAATCACGGGGATTTGAACCTGTTACTTACTTTCTACTTTGGTTGACCTCCACTTAAAAAGGACTTGACAATAAATAGAAAGGTAAAAACAACATATGAACCGGAAAAGGACCCCTTTCGCTCGGAAATGGAGCAGGAACGGTTGTCTCGGCAGTTGACGGTCATGGACCGGAATTAAAAATTTTTGTGTGGTCTAAATCACATCTCGTAACTCGATTTTCACGTGATGCGTGAGATTTACAAAAATTCATTTTAAAATTACGTAGTGTGCAAAGAAAGTTATATCGTATGCAATCAAAATTATGCACAGTAAAAAATGCATACAATCGACAGAAACGATTGCAGTTGCAAGCGTTTGGCCCCTTGTTCCGCTCGCTTACTCGACTTTTGACTTTTGTTTTATTTGTTCCCCACCACCATATGTAGTTATGTACTACGAAAGTACGAACCCTTTTCGAACATTGATGCATGATAGCTTCTTGAAAAAACTCTCCCACCCGGACCCATGCACGAAGCCCTACTTGTACACTGGCTCATGGCTCATGAGCTCATGGCTCATGAGCTTCTTACTATTTCAAGAAGTGCCAGAGCTTTTTAAATTTTTTTATGAAAAAAGTTTTTCTAATAGGTGATCAGTGAGCATTTGTTAATACACTTAATAGAGTTGCAAATGAGTCGAGTCGAATTTTGATCTAATTGAACTGAATTTCGCTTTTATATTACCAATCTCAACAAATTTTCAATGTAAATCTCGAACACTCCCATTAGACAAATCCATCTCTTAATTTAATTACTGCAGATACTTTTCTGAGCACACAGACCCCTTTTTCTTTAATCACTGCTGATAACGTTCAGGAGGTTGTAACCAAATTCGCTATTAACACAATATGCTTTTGTAATTAGTAGGTTATATATATTTTGTCACAGTCTTCCTCTTTCTCATACTTTCACCGATTATAAGCCAATATTTACATGCAAGGTTCTTAAAACTTCCGTTTTTGTCTTTTCGGAACTTCCTACGGGTGCTTAATGCTGTCAATACGATCTTTTCTATGCTTGAGGTGGACAAATTGACCATTCAAGATGGCGAATAAGGGGCAGGAAAAACCAACTGTTCCAGAAATGTTAATGGCTATGATGGCCCAAATTTTGAAATCGAAAAGCAACCATTTTAAAGATTTGTAAGGTGGACAAAGACGGCTGTTAGGGGGCAGGAACAAGCAACCATTCCAACAATGTCAGTGGCTAAAACGGCCCAAATTTTGCAGTACCAACTACCAAGGAGACAATCGAATGCTACTACGGTCCCTTCGATAAAATAGAATGCTATTATGTCCAACGTGTTTTGCTGCTCGAAATCAACTCACTCAATAAATCTAGAAAGGAAAAAAAAAAGAAGAAGCTGCAACATAAGATCGGACACATCTTACAATAACTTCCATCAGAGATCGGACACATCTTACAAAAACTTGTTGTGATGCTTTACATCGCTATCCTTGACTTGAAAAGATCGGTAGTCAAAAGAATGGTACCAATGCAGACTTTAGAAGGTGTACCTTTAAAAAGGGGGAAAATTCCAAATTAAACAAAAGAAAGAGGGTCGAAAAGCCTAGGAGGGTTCATTACAAGAAAAGATATATCCTCATTTGCTCGCACCAATGGCCAACAACAACTGACAAAATTCTCACTTGCCATTAAGCTTAAAACAAAGCTTGTGAAAAGTGGAACTTGATGGCGCCAAATATTTGTAGTAGCAATTCCAAAGTACATATACTGAGTATCATTCAACTTCTCCATCCTGCAGCAAAATAATAAAGACAAGGAGATGAACACCATTTTCTTGCAAATTGTGCAAATGCTACTTGGCCTCAGCAGAGCATCCAAGCAACTGGCTTTATTTTTCCTCAAATAAGGCATAACATGCATGCCATACAAAACAAACGGGAAAACAAAAAGTTGTATCATCCCAGCTAATAATATAGTATGAAAGGCAACTATCACCTACCTATGTGCACGGTCAAAAAGAGTAAAGCATGGCGACTTAAAATTACCAGTAGATGAACTTCTCGCTGTATCACATCACAGAAATTTCAGAAGAAATGCAAAGCTTTGAGTCAGCCCCACCCGATATCACACAATTGCTTTTCCACCAGTCAGCACATAACACCTAAATCATGAAGCTCAGAGGTTAAGAAACTCATATTAGTTTAGACAATATAACAAAAAATAGCAGAAAATTTAGAAAAGAGCACCTTATCCTCATGTGAATCAATAACAGCCAGAGGCCACTGCAACGCATAATATAGAATGAAGCAATCAACATCTGAAGATAATATTACTGCAAGCACATAAATAAAAAGTAACAGAAAACTAAAGTTTTACCGCAGTTCTCAGATCCCACAACATAACTTTCCCGTCATAAGATGCCGATACTAAATGATACCATGAATTATCATGCCACTTGCAGCCAGATATCCAGGAAGTGTGAGACGAGAACTGAAAGGTAGGGGCCAAAGTACCTATAAAACAACCAAATTGAGTATCAGACCCAATACTTGCCGCCAGCAGTACAAAGGGTTAGATTCCATGAGACCTCACAAGTACAATTGTGCTTGTATGTGGATGTTTCTGTCTGAGTGAGTGAGTGAGAGAGAGAGAGAGAGAGAGACTGACCAGGTTTGCGAGGATCCCATATTCGAAGAATAGGGTCTGAACCACCAGCAGCAATGAGGGAGGAACTTTCACCTCCAACATCAAGACAGTTAATAACTTTCCCACAGTACTGCAAAGAATAAATATAGTTATTATCTACTTTCAGCATCTGGAAAGAAATTAAAAATTTACAAAATGAGCAAGTTCCTAATTCTTCACAGAAGCATCTCAAAAGATTATTCTAGCAAAACTAATTGCTGAAGCATGGCTTACGTCCAACAACACATGAACAGCCAGTTACAAAAATAGCTTGCAAAAATTAAACACCGAGTGAAACCTATTTCAGGGAACATGGAGATACATGAACAGAACACAATTCTGGCACTTAGAATGCATACCAAAACATGACCAAACTTCAGTCTGCAGCATAAGCAACCACAGTGCAATCTATATCATATACATATAATCTAGGCCATTTGGAGTCTTAGCTAGGTGTAGGGAAAGTCATTTGTCATATTGAGTGACGAGATTAAATACAACATTATCCTCCATCTTGGCTTCTGTCTGACACACATTAATGTAATAGCTATTACTCTCAGATTTATAATTCAATTTTATACCAAACAAGAGAACAAGAGTTGCATAATCTTCACTATGTGTTTAATCAGAGCATGTATCAAGTCAGAAACAGATGCCAATTCACCTCCATTTAAAGAGGAATATAAGCAAAATAGTACAAAGCCCAACAGTACATGTTCCAGAAGATGGGGAGAGATTTATCTGTTAATCCGGGCATCTGAATTATTCTGCATCCAGATTGAATTCAAATTCCTAAACATAAACTATTGGTCCATGCTCATACAGATAAAGTTGGATAGAAGACGAATAGAAGTCGATGACATATAAAATATGTGCAAAGTTGCAAATGCAACTGAAAAGAAAGGAGTAAATATATATTTAAAAAAAACAAAAGCTGTTGATTCTTCTTACCATGTTCATTGAATCTTTGCCTGTCTCAACATCCCATCTTCTGATTGAATGATCCCATGATGCTGAGTATAATGTTTCATGCTCAGGCCAAACCACAGAAGATACACATTGTGTATGTCCCACAAGTGTAGAAATGGGCTCCCCCTGCATGCCATTGACAACTAATTTCTACAGTCTGAAAGCTTTTCCGACCAATAAAATGACTTCCCATAAGTTTCAATCACTATGGACGACATGTTTTAACTACTAGCTTATGGTGCATAGTATAAAACCATAAAACTTGTAGCGAAGAATAAACGGATGGAGCTATGGAAACTTCTCTTTAGCTTTGATTTCAATGAAAGCCTCTGATATCTAAGAATTTGGTGGCTGACTAGAAAACCCACTTCATTTAAAAAAAAAATTTCACCAGTAAGTTGCAAAGTATTAAACATGCTATACCTCTGACTTAGGTTCCTCATCTTCGATGTCCACTTTCCTCTTCTTAACTGACATAAAATCACCTCCAGAATCGGAATCATTCGCTTGCCACACATTGATCCTACAATCCCAGGAACCTGAGCAAATCTGAGAAATGAATCAGACAACTGTTACAAATACAAACTCAATTCCATATGGGAGGTGTTGTGATAAGGGCCTCTAGGGTAGAAAATAATACGTTAATACCTTAGCACCGGAAGGCTCAGCAGCAATGCATTGCACAGAAGCATTATGTCCACGTAAAGTCTGAAACGATTGAATCTTCTTCAGTTGGCCCTGGAACTCCTCTATATTGACCTTCATCAAACACAATTACAAATAAGGTATTCAGCAGAAGCCCAAGTCAAACTTCAGAAGTAATGGCACCTTCTAATTACCTCAAACAACCTCAATGTCATATCTTTAGAAGCAGTAGCTACTACTCTCCGACCATCACTTCCTAGAATTGGAAATACAGAAAAGTAAAACAGATGGAAGAGGGGAAAAAAAAGAATCAGTATACATAATTGAAAAATCAGATTGAGCAAACTTCATTCCAAAACAATAACTCCCAACAGTACCTAGAGGATCGAGAATACATACAGAAGTAATTGCACCAGTGTGTCCCTCCAGTAGATGTGTACATACACCAGCAGTTTTCCATATCCTGCATGTGTTTAAATCACCTTTGATAAACCTAGCAGTAAATTGCCAACTAATCTGAAGGTAAGAACAAAAAATTTCTTTGTTAAGATTGTTACCTTCCAAACCCATCATAGCATCCAGTCAAAATGAACCTACAGGAACATAAAGCCCATGGATGTACAGCATAAGTTACAAGAAAAGAGTATCAGACTGAACGCCACAACATATATGAATTAATAGCTTGTCCTGTTTTACATAGAGCTTTGGAAGAGGACAAATATGTGATGGACCAACATCCTTTACATGCATACCTAGGATTTGAGCCATCTACTGCACTAACCCAATCATCATGCAGGGAAGGATCCTCTTTTTTTCTTGGGGCCACAGCTTTAATGTACTCAATTTCCAGAATCTTCTCCTGTAATGTGTCAAAGTGTGAAGTCAAAAGCAAGAACATATGAAGGTGCAAAGCATCTCATAGCAAGCTCGCTGCAAAATTCTCCTGTCATTTGATTTATATCCTTTGCTACAGCAATCTCGCATAAATTTTAGAAATTCTTTAGATGCCAAGAAGATTGCTGTCATGTGTTTGCGAAATCATCATATTCAGGAAGAATCTTACAGCAGATATTCCCTTGGCAAGAAGAAATTCTTCGAGGGACATCCGGACCAGCTCTCCATCAATGAGAAAATCGAAAGCTTCAATTTTCCAATCAGCATTTCCTGGGAAACAATTGGCCTATAAGCTTAGACACATTTATAATAAATGCTTGCAAAGAGAAAACTGTTGTATCAGTCTCCCACTGCACAAAAACTACCTGTCAAACATTTATTAGGCTTGGCCAAGAAGGGCCATAACATTTCAAAAAATTTTAAAAAAATCTTCAAAACAACCCTGTTCGTCTTAGCAAATCCCAGAAAAGTTTTTTGTCGACCGCATAGCTCAAAACACGATCAAGTGACGCAATTAATTAACAAAGGAACAACCATGAAAACAAAAGGAAGACCATTCAAAGAATTAGAACTAATCAAAAGCTTACATAAATATACAAAATTGGATGATATGGGCAAAAGAAAAAAGTACCAGCTTTGAGGAGGTTATTGACGAGAGCAGAGAGACCGAAACGAGTGAGGTTGGTAGGGATGGCAATAGAAGTAGGAGGGGCTTTGTATGGAGGCTTTAGCTTCGTCACGAACCGCACCCGAATGCGCCTTGAAGCTTCTTCTGCATCTCCATCTATATCCATATCTTACTGGACGGAGATCGGAGATGTATGGCAGAATGAGAGATAGGACGAAGAACGGGAGACCGGGGAGCTTGCTGGATACCGTATTCCTAAGAAGTTGAGGGTAGCAACAAACGGAGCGGGAGTTCAAACTCTCGGGTTCGGAGGGGCATTCGGTGGGGAAAGTCTAGGGTTTTTAACTATAGTAGAGCTTTTTATTTTTTTGGTACTAACTCTAGTAGAGTTTCAACTTCAGATATTCGGTCCTCGTGCGTTTTCTCGTTTATTTAATGGGATAATTTTTTGAGGTTTTTCGTAGTGTCACTCAACTCTCACTAGTTTAACAGTACCAAAAGTCCTTGTCTTTTTTTTTTTTGTTGTCCGACGGAGGGGGTATCTGGAGCATCGGATAAATCGGACTCGACTAATCCCTCACCGGCCCGGGAGGAGAGGCCCCATCCCCCCGAACACGATAACCATGGGACTCGAACCCTGGCGGGCACTGGACAACAGCTTAGGAGGCATGCTGTGACCAATCGAGTTGCCCATAAGGGGCACCAAAAGTCCTTGTCAAATGACACAAATTGATAACATTATCCCTACACTCTTAATAAATATTTAATCAAAAAGCTAAAAAAAAAAAAAGAAACTTTTAAACCAAAAAATGTAGATGAAAAAATTTTAAAAAATACTTCTCCATATTAAGATGGTGGTGGGACAGCAAATGATGTGAGTAAATTAAACCTGGTGAAAGTCAACCATTTAGAACGATTTTAGTGAGTAATTAACACCTTACAAATTTTGTGGGATAGTAATAAAAAAGTCAAGAAAATTTTTTAGAAAATATGTTTTAATACATGATGTAATTTAAATTGTACTAAAAATTTAAATAATTACTTCATACATGTAGTTTGTAATATAAATCCTACTTATAGAAATAAACTCTTATAAATAAGTCACAATTAAAAACATTAATAAAAAAAATGATCCAATGATCAAATATATATCTAAGAATATCCTATGTTTTTTTACCTTTTAACTTTATTTTATTTTTTATTGTTGTTATGAGTTTCATAAGAAGGATAACATAAGAGTAGTATTAGAACAAAAATTTTATCTTCCTTGCATTTCCTCCGAAGAGCCTAAAACATTAAAAAAAAATGTCAATTTAAGAGAGGTAGGTAAAATTTTGAAAACTTAGAGGGCACCAAGTGATATTAGGATGAACGTGAGGGGAAGTTTCTAAAATTATCCCTTATTTAAATTTCGTTTTCCTGCTCGCAATACTAAGTTAAATAGAAAATGCTTTTTATTCTTTTCCCGTTTTGGAATTAATCATTGTCAGTATAGAATTTTTGTTATATCTTTTACCGTTTCACAATTAATCTTTGTCAGTATATAAATTTTATGCATAACACATAACCTTCCTCTCATGTCTCTGCAAAACGATAAATTCAATCAAGGAAAGCTACTCCAAGAATTAAAATTATGGAATTAAAGCTCCATCCTGTCTGCATATATATATATATTTCTCAAGGACGTGCTCCACAAGTATGTCACCTTCCTTTGGCTTTTCTTTAGCAATTGACCATACTTCATCTAGCTTGGGCAAGTCCAAAGACATAAACTTGGATATCTCAGCTTCTGAGACATCAGTCTTTCTAGGTGGAAACTTGGGAAACTTGGATAAACTTCGGCCATCCAATCCGGTATGTCTCTGCGAGGACCATCAGTCAGTAGTTTCCATTTTTGTGAATCCTCATCCATCAGGAAATCCAAACGTCCACCATTGACAACATAAAATGCACTTTCGTTCTCCTCACAGGGAGATCTCTGGTTCATTAACAAGGCCTCTGCTATTTCTGCTCTTTGTCTCCACGTCTTTGAAGCAGCTTCAGATGCTCTTAGAGATCTCTCTAACGCTTCACATCTCTTCATGTAGGCGTCATCTTGGAAACGTGCAGTTTCTTTAGCTGCTTCAATAGCAGCCTTGATAGCGTCCAACTCAACCTTAAGAGCCTTCGAAGCTGCCCTCTCTTTTTGCACTTCATCCTTCTTAATCTTTTCCAAAAATGATTTGACTTCCTCCTCTTGTTGAAGAGCTGCTTTCTTGCTTGACTCTTGAAGTTCAAAAAAGGCTTTCTCAGCTTCACTTACTTGGTGTTCAAAAGCACTACATCGTTGATGGGCCTGTTCCAACTCCAACTGTAACCTGTTAATCTCATTGCTCGAAACTATTAAACGTGACTCTAAGTTATTGATGTCATTTTGTAGCTTAATATTTTGAGATTGGACGGACAAAATATCATCAAGAGGATTCATATCATCTGTAAATAAAGCCATGGCTTTAGTTGACTGATCACCAGCTGATTCTGCAACAGCTAATGCTTTCTCTATGCAATTTTAGATTGCTGCACAATGGAAAATATTGTCCCCTCTGTGGCATGCAGGATTTGTTCTTCAATTTGATATGCTGCCTCTGCAGCAGCTGTTTCAGCTGCTGAAACTTTCAATTTTGCATCTTCTAATATGTGAGATGTTGCTTGCTGGAAAGCTATTTCTGCCAACTTTTCAACTTGCACAGCAAGCTCAAGAGCATCTTGTTTGGCAAGGACCAACTTAGACTCCAAATTGAACTTCTCCTCAACAGACTGCTCCAACTTCTGATTGAACAGAGCTTTTGCTGCCTCAAGCTCTGCAATGGCCACCTCCTTATCACGCATGATAGTGGCAACATACTCCTGCTGCTTAGCCTCAGAACGAGCTAATTCTTCAAGTAATAAATCTCTCTCTTTCTCAATAGCATCTTGTCTGGCTCGCGCCTCAGCTAGAGCATTTCTAGTTGCCAGAATTTCATCTTCGTCAGCCCCTATAACTTCACTCCTCCCGATGCATCGCCATCGCTATCATCTAGAACATCAGCAGAAGTCCCTCTTGAAGCACCCTATCATTGAGAAGAATTTTGGAGACATAGACAATTCACAATTTAACAGCTGCCACTTATTCACTTTAGCAATCTTTATTAGCAATTGCTCTATTTAAACATGCTTCTTGAGCAATAAGACGTTTCTTGGAATGAAATTTTAGAAGATAGCCATCCTAACAGTTCATGCTGTCAGTTTGGTGCTTGTAAAGATCTCTTTTCTACTATAGAATGCACCAAACTGAATCTGTGACCCCGATAACATGTTTCAACACGTTTTGAAATTAGCTGGCTTATCGCGATTCTTTATACATATTAATCATGTAGCTCATACACAAATACGGGCATAAAGCATAAACCTTTTCTTCTCATAAATCAAGAAACCACAACAAAATTAGTAGAAAGCACAAGGTCATGACCTATAACAGCTTACCGTTCTCGAGAGAGGAGTAGTCCTTAGCTTACGCTGCAAACCATCTGAATAACATGTTTTCCTACAAAATATGATGCATTAAATAGATAACTCGTGTATATAGAAACATCAATTAGAAGCCAATTATTATGTATGAAGGTAAAGAGTTTTGCTTGTTCAATACCTGTTTCTGTTCACAGGATAAATATTTCTCTTATTAAGTACAAGATAAGATATGCGGCACAATGCACCCCAGATGAAACTACGGGAGTGGGTTGATTCAGCAAAGAAGCCCTCAAATTTACTGTCTCGGACAATGAAGCTGCACCCATACCGTCCTGCCATGAAAGAAATATTTAATTCATAATTCTGGAAAGTATCAGTTCTTGAAAATCACCAATAAAATAATAAAAAGCTATAAGCAGCCCATCCAAAAAAAAAAAAGAATAAAGTAAACTAGCGCATTTATGATTTGACGAGGATAAAACATTAAGGGAATACGTTTTCCGACCGGATGATTTCTCCAATCTCAAATGCCTAACTTTTACATCATTTGGACATGAGAAGAAGATTCTGAAACTAGTATTAAAAGAGAGAGAGAGGAAGAAGAAGAAAATGCCAGTAAAAAGGAGGTCAAAAAGTACTACTAGTACTGGTATAATGACTGGTGCTTTGCTAATTGTAGCAGAGTGCAAAGAAGCATGGATAGAACTCCACTTGTGGGAGAGAGGAGCAGTAGCGACTAGCGAAGCGGGAGAAGCCTCGCCCTGGCCCAGCTGGCAGGAAAAGGCATCGTGTGCTTCCTATAAATCACGGGGATTTGAACCTTTATTTACTTTCTACTTTGGTTGACCTCCACTTAAAAAGGACTTGACAATAAATAGAAAGGTAAAAACAACATATGAACCGGAAAAGGACCCCTTTCGCTCGGAAATGGAGCAGGAACGGTTGTCTCGGCAGTTGACGGTCATGGACCGGAATTAAAAATTTTTGTGTGGTCTAAATCACATCTCGTAACTCGATTTTCACGTGATGCGTGAGATTTACAAAAATTCATTTTAAAATTACGTAGTGTGCAAAGAAAGTTATATCGTATGCAATCAAAATTATGCACAGTAAAAAATGCATACAATCGACAGAAACGATTGCAGTTGCAAGCGTTTGGCCCCTTGTTCCGCTCGCTTACTCGACTTTTGACTTTTGTTTTATTTGTTCCCCACCACCATATGTAGTTATGTACTACGAAAGTACGAACCCTTTTCGAACATTGATGCATGATAGCTTCTTGAAAAAACTCTCCCACCCGGACCCATGCACGAAGCCCTACTTGTACACTGGCTCATGGCTCATGAGCTCATGGCTCATGAGCTTCTTACTATTTCAAGAAGTGCCAGAGCTTTTTAAATTTTTTTATGAAAAAAGTTTTTCTAATAGGTGATCAGTGAGCATTTGTTAATACACTTAATAGAGTTGCAAATGAGTCGAGTCGAATTTTGATCTAATTGAACTGAATTTCGCTTTTATATTACCAATCTCAACAAATTTTCAATGTAAATCTCGAACACTCCATTAGACAAATCCATCTCTTAATTTAATTACTGCAGATACTTTTCTGAGCACACAGACCCCTTTTTCTTTAATCACTGCTGATAACGTTCAGGAGGTTGTAACCAAATTCGCTATTAACACAATATGCTTTTGTAATTAGTAGGTTATATATATTTTGTCACAGTCTTCCTCTTTCTCATACTTTCACCGATTATAAGCCAATATTTACATGCAAGGTTCTTAAAACTTCCGTTTTTGTCTTTTCGGAACTTCCTACGGGTGCTTAATGCTGTCAATACGATCTTTTCTATGCTTGAGGTGGACAAATTGACCATTCAAGATGGCGAATAAGGGGCAGGAAAAACCAACTGTTCCAGAAATGTTAATGGCTATGATGGCCCAAATTTTGAAATCGAAAAGCAACCATTTTAAAGATTTGTAAGGTGGACAAAGACGGCTGTTAGGGGGCAGGAACAAGCAACCATTCCAACAATGTCAGTGGCTAAAACGGCCCAAATTTTGCAGTACCAACTACCAAGGAGACAATCGAATGCTACTACGGTCCCTTCGATAAAATAGAATGCTATTATGTCCAACGTGTTTTGCTGCTCGAAATCAACTCACTCAATAAATCTAGAAAGGAAAAAAAAAAGAAGAAGCTGCAACATAAGATCGGAACATCTTACAATAACTTCCATCAGAGATCGGACACATCTTACAAAAACTTGTTGTGATGCTTTACATCGCTATCCTTGACTTGAAAAGATCGGTAGTCAAAAGAATGGTACCAATGCAGACTTTAGAAGGTGTACCTTTAAAAAGGGGGAAAATTCCAAATTAAACAAAAGAAAGAGGGTCGAAAAGCCTAGGAGGGTTCATTACAAGAAAAGATATATCCTCATTTGCTCGCACCAATGGCCAACAACAACTGACAAAATTCTCACTTGCCATTAAGCTTAAAACAAAGCTTGTGAAAAGTGGAACTTGATGGCGCCAAATATTTGTAGTAGCAATTCCAAAGTACATATACTGAGTATCATTCAACTTCTCCATCCTGCAGCAAAATAATAAAGACAAGGAGATGAACACCATTTTCTTGCAAATTGTGCAAATGCTACTTGGCCTCAGCAGAGCATCCAAGCAACTGGCTTTATTTTTCCTCAAATAAGGCATAACATGCATGCCATACAAAACAAACGGGAAAACAAAAAGTTGTATCATCCCAGCTAATAATATAGTATGAAAGGCAACTATCACCTACCTATGTGCACGGTCAAAAAGAGTAAAGCATGGCGACTTAAAATTACCAGTAGATGAACTTCTCGCTGTATCACATCACAGAAATTTCAGAAGAAATGCAAAGCTTTGAGTCAGCCCCACCCGATATCACACAATTGCTTTTCCACCAGTCAGCACATAACACCTAAATCATGAAGCTCAGAGGTTAAGAAACTCATATTAGTTTAGACAATATAACAAAAATAGCAGAAAATTTAGAAAAGAGCACCTTATCCTCATGTGAATCAATAACAGCCAGAGGCCACTGCAACGCATAATATAGAATGAAGCAATCAACATCTGAAGATAATATTACTGCAAGCACATAAATAAAAAGTAACAGAAAACTAAAGTTTTACCGCAGTTCTCAGATCCCACAACATAACTTTCCCGTCATAAGATGCCGATACTAAATGATACCATGAATTATCATGCCACTTGCAGCCAGATATCCAGGAAGTGTGAGACGAGAACTGAAAGGTAGGGGCCAAAGTACCTATAAACAACCAAATTGAGTATCAGACCCAATACTTGCCGCCAGCAGTACAAAAGGGTTAGATTCCATGAGACCTCACAAGTACAATTGTGCTTGTATGTGGATGTTTCTGTCTGAGTGAGTGAGTGAGAGAGAGAGAGAGAGAGAACTGACCAGGTTTGCGAGGATCCCATATTCGAAGAATAGGGTCTGAACCACCAGCAGCAATGAGGAGGAACTTTCACCTCCAACATCAAGACAGTTAATAACTTTCCACAGTACTGCAAAGAATAAATATAGTTATTATCTACTTTCAGCATCTGGAAAGAAATTAAAAATTTACAAAATGAGCAAGTTCCTAATTCTTCACAGAAGCATCTCAAAAGATTATTCTAGCAAAACTTAATTGCTGAAGCATGGCTTACGTCAACAACACATGAACAGCCAGTTACAAAAATAGCTGCAAAAATTAAACACCGAGTGAAACCTATTTCAGGCGAACATGGAGATACATGAAACAGAACACAATTCTGGCACTTAGAATGCATACCAAAAACATGACCAAACTTCAGTCTGCCAGCATAAGCAACCACAGTGCAATCTATATTTCATATACATATATCTAGGCCATTTGGAGTCTTAGCTAGGTGTAGGGAAATCATTTGTCATATTGAGTGACGAGATTAAATACAACATTATCCTCCATCTTGGCTTCTGTCTGACACACATTAATGTAATAGCTATTACTCTCAGATTTATAATTCAATTTTATACCAAACAAGAGAACAAGAGTTGCATAATCTTCACTATGTGTTTAATCAGAGCATGTATCAAGTCAGAAACAGAAGCCAATTCACCTCCATTTAAAGAGGAATATAAGCAAAATAGTACAAAGCCCAACAGTACATGTTCCAGAAGATGGGGAGAGATTTATCTGTTAATCCGGGCATCTGAATTATTCTGCATCCAGATTGAATTCAAATTCCTAAACATAAACTATTGGTCTATGCTCATACAGATAAAGTTGGATAAAAGAGGAATAGAAGTTGACGACATATAAAATATGTGCAAAGTTGCAAATGCAACTAAAAGAAAGGAGTAAATATATATTTAAAAAAACAAAAGCTGTTGATTCTTCTTACCATGTTCATTGAATCTTTGCCTGTCTCAACATCCCATCTTCTGATTGAATGATCCCATGATGCTGAGTATAATGTTTCATGCTCAGGCCAAACCACAGAAGATACACATTGTGTATGTCCCACAAGTGTAGAAATGGGCTCCCCCTGCATGCCATTGACAACTAATTTCTACAGTCTGAAAGCTTTTCCGACCAATAAAATGACTTCCCATAAGTTTCAATCACTATGGACGACATGTTTTAACTACTAGCTTATGGTGCATAGTATAAAACCATAAAACTTGTAGCGAAGAATAAACGGATGGAGCTATGGAAACTTCTCTTTAGCTTTGATTTCAATGAAAGCCTCTGATATCTAAGAATTTGGTGGCTGACTAGAAAACCCACTTCATTTAAAAAAAAAATTTCACCAGTAAGTTGCAAAGTATTAAACATGCTATACCTCTGACTTAGGTTCCTCATCTTCGATGTCCACTTTCCTCTTCTTAACTGACATAAAATCACCTCCAGAATCGGAATCATTCGCTTGCCACACATTGATCCTACAATCCCAGGAACCTGAGCAAATCTGAGAAATGAATCAGACAACTGTTACAAATACAAACTCAATTCCATATGGGAGGTGTTGTGATAAGGGCCTCTAGGGTAGAAAATAATACGTTAATACCTTAGCACCGGAAGGCTCAGCAGCAATGCATTGCACAGAAGCATTATGTCCACGTAAAGTCTGAAACGATTGAATCTTCTTCAGTTGGCCCTGGAACTCCTCTATATTGACCTTCATCAAACACAATTACAAATAAGGTATTCAGCAGAAGCCCAAGTCAAACTTCAGAAGTAATGGCACCTTCTAATTACCTCAAACAACCTCAATGTCATATCTTTAGAAGCAGTAGCTACTACTCTCCGACCATCACTTCCTAGAATTGGAAATACAGAAAAGTAAAACAGATGGAAGAGGGGAAAAAAAGAATCAGTATACATAATGAAAAATCAGATTGAGCAAACTTCATTCCAAAACAATAACTCCCAACAGTACCTAGAGGATCGAGAATACATACAGAAGTAATTGCACCAGTGTGTCCCTCCAGTAGATGTGTACATACACCAGCAGTTTTCCATATCCTGCATGTGTTTAAATCACCTTTGATAAACCTAGCAGTAAATTGCCAACTAATCTGAAGGTAAGAACAAAAAATTTCTTTGTTAAGATTGTTACCTTCCAAACCCATCATAGCATCCAGTCAAAATGAACCTACAGGAACATAAAGCCCATGGATGTACAGCATAAGTTACAAGAAAAGAGTATCAGACTGAACGCCACAACATATATGAATTAATAGCTTGTCCTGTTTTACATAGAGCTTTGGAAGAGGACAAATATGTGATGGACCAACAACATCCTTTACATGCATACCTAGGATTTGAGCCATCTACTGCACTAACCCAATCATCATGCAGGGAAGGATCCTCTTTTTTTCTTGGGGCCACAGCTTTAATGTACTCAATTTCCAGAATCTTCTCCTGTAATGTGTCAAAGTGCGAAGTCAAAAGCAAGAACATATGAAGGTGCAAAGCATCTCATAGCAAGCTCGCTGCAAAATTCTCCTCTCATTTGATTTATATCCTTTGCTACAGCAATCTCGCATAAATTTTAGAAATTTTTAGATGCCAAGAAGATTGCTGTCATGTGTTTGCGAAATCATCATATTCAGGAAGAATCTTACAGCAGATATTCCCTTGGCAAGAAGAAATTCTTCGAGGGACATCCGGACCAGCTCTCCATCAATGAGAAAATCGAAAGCTTCAATTTTCCAATCAGCATTTCCTGGGAAACAATTGGCCTATAAGCTTAGACACATTTATAATAAATGCTTGCAAAGAGAAAACTGTTGTATCAGTCTCCCACTGCACAAAAACTACCTGTCAAACATTTATTAGGCTTGGCCAAGAAGGGCCATAACATTTCAAAAAATTTTAAAAAAATCTTCAAAACAACCCTGTTCGTCTTAGCAAATCCCAGAAAAGTTTTTTGTCGACCGCATAGCTCAAAACACGATCAAGTGACGCAATTAATTAACAAAGGAACAACCATGAAAACAAAAGGAAGACCATTCAAAGAATTAGAACTAATCAAAAGCTTACATAAATATACAAAATTGGATGATATGGGCAAAAGAAAAAAGTACCAGCTTTGAGGAGGTTATTGACGAGAGCAGAGAGACCGAAACGAGTGAGGTTGGTGGGATGGCAATAGAAGTAGGAGGGGCTTTGTATGGAGGCTTTAGCTTCGTCACGAACCGCACCCGAATGCGCCTTGAAGCTTCTTCTGCATCTCCATCTATATCCATATCTTACTGGACGGAGATCGGAGATGTATGGCAGAATGAGAGATAGGACGAAGAACGGGAGACCGGGGAGCTTGCTGATACCGTATTCCTAAGAAGTGATGGTAGCAACAAACGGAGCGGGAGTTCAAACTCTCGGGTTCGGAGGGGCATTCGGTGGGGAAAGTCTAGGGTTTTTAACTCTAGTAGAGTTTTTGATTTTTTTGGTACTAACTCTAGTAGCGTTTCAACTTCAGATATTCGGTCCTCGTGCGTTTTCTCGTTTATTTAATGGGATAATTTTTTGACATTTTTCGTAATGTCGCTGAACTCTCTCTAGTTTAACAGTACCAAAAGTCCTTGCCTTCTTTTTTTTTTTTTTTTTTTTGTCTGACGAAGGGGGTATCCGAGTCATAGGATAAATTGGACCCGACTAATTTTCCACTAGTCCGGGAGGAAAGGCCCCATCCCCGAATACGATAATTATGGGACTCGAATCCTGACAGGCACTGGACAACAGTTCTTTAGGAGGCGTGCTGTGACCAATCGAGCTGTCCATGAGGGCACCAAAAGTCCTTGTCAAATGACACAAATTGACCAAAAGTCCTTGTCAATCCCTACACTCTTAATAAATATTTAATCAAAATTCTAAAAAAAAAAAAGAAACTTTTAAGCCAAAAAATGTAGATGAAAAAATTTTTAAAAATGCTTCTTCATATTAAGATGGTGGTGGGACAGCAAATGATGTGAGTAAATTAAACCTAGTGAAAGTCAACCATTTAGAACGATTTTAGTGAGTAATTAACACCTTACAAATTTTGTGGATAGTAATAAAGAAGTCAAGGAAATTTTTTAGAAAATATGTTCTAGTACATGATGTAATTTAAATTGTACTAAAAAATTAAATAATTACTTCATACATGTAGTTTGTAATATAAATCCTACTTATAGAAACAAACTCTTATAAATAAGTCACAATTAAAAACATTAATAAAAAAAAATGAGCCAATGATCAAATATATATCTAAGAATATCCTATGTTTTTTACCTTTTAACTTTATTTTATTTTTTATTGTTGTTATGAGTTTCATAAGAAGGATAACAGAAGAGTAGTATTAGAACAAAAATTTTATCTTCCTTGCATTTCCTCCAAAGAGCCTAAAATTAAAAAAAAATGTCGATTTAAGAGAGGCAGGTAAAATTTTGAAAACTTAGAGGGCACTAAGTGATATTAGGATGAACGTGAGGGGAAGTTTCTAAAATTATCCCTTATTTAAATATCGTTTTCCTGCTCGCAATACTAAGTTAAATAGAAAATGCTTTTTATTCTTTTCCCGTTTTGGAATTAATCATTGTCAGCATAGAATTTTTGTTATGTCTTTTACCGTTTCACAATTAATCTTTGTCAGTACATAAATTTTATGCATAACACATAACCTTCCTCTCATGTCTCTGCAAAACGATAAATTCAATCAAGGAAAGCTACTCCAAGAGTTAAAATTATGGAATTAAAGCTCCATCCTGTCTGCATATATATATATACATGGGCAAAAAAATAACTAGGAACTAAGCTGGTAATAAATAGTACCATGGTTTTTAATCTTCAAGGAGACGGCAAATCCAGAATCAGACAAGCCGCCATTACAACAGTTGTAGTATTACTTACATGAAGCCTGTGTGGTGTCTTCTAGACCGCTAGTCTAAATAAAATGCTCCTAGGCATTTTCTACTCTCAGAACATTGAACAAGAATGTGTTTTTCCCATCAACGGAGTTCAGGACAATTGGCTCCTGCTCCTCTTTAGGTGCCCCAGGCCGCGCAAAATCCGCGATTAACCTCGCAACTATCTCAGGCTTCTCAACATGCGGGAGATGACCACAATCAGGTATTTGGTGGACGCTTGCATCTGGCAATTCACCATGCAGTCTCTGCATTTTATGCCACATGTGACATCAACATAGTGTCAGTAAGAGTCAGAGGATGACAACATCTATTGTTTTTTTTTTTTTTTATAGGAGGGAGAGGTTGTATATGAGATCTTGTGCTTCCGCAAGCAAAACCAGTGTCGGAGTCAGGACCCTAAGTTAAGAGGCTCAAACTCTATTAGTATAAAAATTGTAGTAATAATAGAGTTTGAAACCAATAAACACGTCTATCTTAAAAATTCATCTTTTCTATGTTAATATATGTTTTTAAAACTAAATTGTAGTGAAAATTCATCTTTTAGTTTTATGCAACTTTTGGAGGAGTTGAAAAGAAGCGCCCATGCATATCATCCACTGGTCAAACTGGCCAGTTTCTTGAAAGCAATTTCCATTTGAATCCTAATTTTGAGTTAGCGCTTAGCCACAAAAAGAACTTTAAATGTAAGCTCATATAGATGGAAACTGACCATTGCAAGCTTACTGTTGACAATGTTATCACACTCTCCCCAGATGACAAGAACTTTCTTGTTCACCTGCAAAAAAGTGAATGCTCACTTTTTTATGCATTGTAATTCATTCAGTCAATGATGATGAAGTGAACAAGTGGATTTCAAGATTTTGGCCTTTAATATGGTGGTCACATGTGAAATGTAGCGGACAGGATGACAGGATGGCTGTACTAACCAGTCACACACGTACCCAAAACACCATGGGGTTTTGCAAGCATAAAGGTATGAACATAGAATGTCATTAAGTAAAATGAATCAATAACGAAATTTCTGCTTGATAATGCAGATGAATGTGGAAAGGTATTATACCTGCTTTATTTGATTAACAACATTATAGCCACCGCTAAGCATGTAATTCACAGTAGCATCTTCCCACCAAGGCAAAAGACAGTGTAGGCGGCCGACCTGCTTGGTCAAGCAGAACGCATCTGTTAAATATCACTCAAGGCTTGCATCTGCTGAAAGCAAGGAAACGTGTAACCTGCAGAAAATCACACTCACATTGGCCCAGTCAAAGCATTTTGATAAGGGTATGTCATCAAAAGCTAGCAAATTGGCATACAGCCGCAGTGGGAGGCTCTTCAACAAAGAGACCTGAAAAATGTCTACGTGAGAAGCAAACGTGATAAATAAGATGATGATATAAACAGTACCTCATTTCTCCAAGAACATCAACTAAGGCCCGTTTAGCAAGTGAGTTTTTTAAATATTTGTCTAAAACTTTACTCTAACTTACTGAAGAAGTTTTTTAAAAAATTTTTGAAGTGTGTAAATTTTTGAATATTTTGAAGTGTATAGTTTAAAAACTTTGAGAAATTTTTTGAGATTACTGTAACTAAAGTTTTTAAAAACTCGTAACAGACAAACTGGGCAAAAAACTCAAGTGCCAAACAAGATGGCTACGTGAGGCCCTAAGAATTAGAGGTCTTGAGTTCAAATTCCTCTGCCCCTCCCCCCTACTCAAGTCCCGCCTCTCTCCTGCTGGAAAAATTTAGAAAAAAAAAAAAAAAAAAGATTATCCTAGTTACAATCTTTCATGCTGCTCTATAAAAATCTTACTTTATCATGTTTCAAGAGCTTCTTCATTTAAAGCAAAGATAGAACTGCACTGAGTCCCTAAGTCCATCCTGACAATACTAATCATTGATGTGTGTTTATCTGGTTGGACTGAATCTTGTTCATCAAAATGTCTTAAGAAGTAAAATGAGATAATGGATTCATTGATCCAACGAAGAATGAATTCAAAGATAAGATATTCATCAGTTTGTAGACATTCCTTGTCATTTCAGTTGAAAGAAAATATGTGCCAAAATAGTCCTCTTTAAATTGCCATCCTACAAAAGACTGGAAAAAAAAGATTGAAATACAAATTCCCTAAGTTCATCCTCTTGGACAATGCTAATTACTGATGCGTGTTTGTCTGGTAGGACCGACTTTTGTTCATCAAAATGTTATAAGTAAAATGAGAAAATGGAATCATTGATCCAATGAAGAACGAGTCCAGAGGCATGATGTTCATCAGTTTGTAGACATTCCTGTCATTTGAAACAGACCATGTGCCAAAGTAGTCCTCTTTAAATTGCTATCCCACAAAAGACTGGATAAAAAAGAGTGTAAATTTTAAGAAATATGGCTGTCTTTGGAAAGATAAAAGATAATAAATCCCAAATGCCTCAAGCCACATGAAAATGCAAAAATTGTAATCAGAGCTCTTCACAAAACCTTTTTGTTCTCTTGACATATTTTTTGTTACTAAATTCAGAATCATATTCCTTTCCTGTGATGAAGGGCACTGCTGATGCTTAACTCCTTGGATATATGGACCCTAGAAAAAAAAAGAAAAAAAAATTACCCCAGCATATGCTAAAAATTTTGGTAGCTTTGTCAGAAGCCCTGTGCCTTCAGCATAAACACTTGCATTGATAAGAATCAGCTTCTCAACCTGCAAACAACAGAATAGATAGCATAAGATTGATGAATAGCACAATTAATGATACCGACAGAAGAAGCAGACTGCACAGCTATCTTGTAAATTTGGAAGAACAAGGATTTTACAGATCTGTTGTGATTGTATATCTATACACTTTCTTTCATCTCAATCCACTGTCTTTGTCAATGGACAAGTCAACAGTAATTGTTAACTTTATCATTTCATGAATTATGCTGAACAAAGAGCGAAAATCACTTCTTTAAGTGACACCTTCACACAGATGACACAAAAAAATCTCTTGTATGTTCTAGTAGACACATCTAATTTGTATTACATCTAGCAGGATAAGGCTTCAAATGCTTCCATGTTTCTAGTTTTTTTTTTTTTTTTTCATTGGAGGTTATTGGACTCCGTGGTAGAAGAAAATCTACACAAAATGCAAATCCCCCATGCAACTGGCACATTTTTTCAGTAGCTTTCCGTAATTCTAACAGATAGCCTATCAACAGGATACTGCTTGCAAGGCGATTCTAACCGAACTTCCCTCACACGAGATGTATAAACTTTAATATCTGTGTTAACCCCTATCGATTTTCTTTGTAGATCTGGTAATGTATGAATGTATGTGTTGGCCTTATAGCCGTTCTTAGACATACATGATTTCTAACTTATTGTTCCTCTCACTGTCTTCACAAACACACACCAAAACCCCAACAGATAAATGTTTGAAATTGGTCAAGAAATTTCATTAAAAGATCATGCTTTGTTTATCTCTTTTTTTTATAGGCACATTAGTAATTTATTTCATGGGAAGATTGAATACGTCAGAAACTTGAGTGATTACAAGTCAAATTCAAGAAAGCTCAGTTGAAGGAAAATGCTTACAGCTTCTGGAAAGTTGACGGCAAAGTCAATCGCAACTGCAGCACCAAGGCTTGGTCCGACTAGTATCATTGGTCTTTTGATGTGAGTCCTCCAAAGCTATAATAGAAGCTCAGAAAGTTAGATCAATATTTAAGAACTAACAAGAACTGCCAATTAGGCTATTCAGTGTGATGGATGGTAATAATCAACCGGCGTCCTGGATGTTATCTTTCCAAAGCACCTGGTAAAGATGATATCTTTTGGATGCCGCATCGCAGGGAGGAAGTCTTTCTACACCAATTGAGGACTAATCAAGATCATTAACAACTAGAAGCATAACACAAATCAAAAGTACCTGAACTAAGAGAAAAATTATATTCTCTCTCTCCTCTGAAATTAGAGTAAGGATTTGAAGATGAACCTAGGTCAGAGAAACCCCAACCAAGAATGTCTATTGCCCAAGTCTCCAAAGCAGCGTCCTCAAGTAATGGGTACGTGCATCTCCATTCTAAACAAGAACTACAAAATCGAATGCACACCGGCCAAACAAGGGGCATAAAGAAAAAGAGACGAAAGGGCTTTGAAATAAAGGGAAATGAGAATAGGCCAAAATAAAAGGGTAGAAAACCTGTCGAAACAATGGAGAAGGACCACTGGATCGGTATCATGTTGAAACCTTGGCTTCACACAGCTGCTCATTATACAACTCTCGGAAAATCCGACCTGATTTGAGAGAGGCAGGATATAAGGAAACAAAAACAGGGCAAAGATAAGTTGCATGGCCAACAATCAGATATGAGAAATTCTGGAGACTTCTTGTGACCACAACTGCTCATTTTACTCGCTGGAGAATATAACCATCACAATAGAAGTGAAATGTTATTTCAAGTCAAAAGGACACACACACATCATGATTCTTCACTTTAATCTAATCGGCTGTATGATGCGCATATTATGATTCTGGGCCTCAGCTCTCGAGGAATACTCTAAACAGAACCTTGCTAGATGAACACGAGATGGTCATCATTTATCCCCTTTAGACTTAAATTTAGAATGCACAGCAACGGATGCAATACGCGAGTGACAGAAAGTTGTCATTTTGACTTGAAACACCCAGTAAGAGACTTGATTTCGTTTGAGCAAATGCTGAGGCTATTAAGAATGCAGTATATGTTCCATCTCAACATCCGTGCGTATAATAAATTAAGTAAAAAAATTTTATCCCAGACTACAAAAAAAAAGAAGGAATGAAATAGAGCAAAGCTTGTCGATTTCAAAATTCAGAGCAAGAGGACTCAAGAGTGAAGGCCCTCATACAAGGCTTTGATCTTTTAAAACCACACACCGAATAAAAGGGGGGCAACATTGTGCTACAACATGTAGAAGAATAAAGCTTGTATATATACCTTCACAGGAAGCCTTTGAATCCTCTGAGCCAAAGTTCGTGCAAATGGATCCTTGATTTCTTTAACTTCCTTCGGTAAAAACGAGGGAAACTCGCCATCAACGGCAATAACATTTGTACCCAATCTTCCTCCGCAATTAACCCCCAAATGCATCGGATGCTTCGAACCGAATCGTTCTCTTGCTCCTAGAATCAAGGATGGTCTCAATGAAAAAGCTTCCATTTTTTCCAATCAGAAACCAGCAATTCAATTAAGCAAATATCGAAAGAATAAGCTGCTAAATCATGTAGTACTAATATATCAGTACTCAGAATGGTTTGAGTTGCACATGCATTACTCTGTATCAGGGCTGATGTGGAGGCGGATGGTGGGAGAAGTTGTGAACTCGAAGTGGTGAATGAGAATACCAAGGTAGCAGTACAGGCATGCAAAATGTGCCTACTCTACCATTTCTGATCAAAAGTTCAAATCTGCCCACCTCTCTCCCTCTCTCTCTCTGTGGACGGTGCATGTGAGCCCCGGCTACTGTGTAGCAGTAGCCCCACGTCAGTTTGAAGAAAGTAAAAGGTACCGGTGGGTTTTTCCAAAAATTAGTTTTTTTAATAAAAATATTTTAAAAGATAATCTAAAAATTAGTTTAAATTTTTTTAAAATTTAAAAAATATCTTAAAATATATTTTAAAAATTCTTTTATTCTTACATATCTCAAAATATTTTTTAAAAATATTCTAAAATATAATCTAAAAATTCTATTATAATAAAAAAATTTTTAAATATTTTTAAAAATAACTAATTCAAACGGAATCGAGTTGATTAGAAATGGACTATGAAATGGTTTGGATTAACTATTCTAAACCTATGATTTCAATTCAAAAGTGGACCTTACGTTGGGTAGTGTAGTGTCCGTTCGTACGAGATGCCTGGACCTGACCTAGGTTAGCATGAACTTCATAGGTAGTTACGAATTTTGACAGGGCGCAAAATCCATTGCTCTTCCTTTAAGGCTCAACAAACCACTTCTCCGAAAAGGGAGAGAGTAATGACAAAATAGAGCTCCAACAAACCACGTTTGGTCAGTTTTCAGAATGAATGAAAAACGCAGCACGGCAGTAGCCCTGCCCACTCGAAAAGCGGGCAAAATAAATGACAAAAAAGAGAGAAAGACAGAACGCTAGAAGGAGGGCTTGAACCTCCGACCTTGTGGTTAACAGCCACACGCTCTAACCAACTGAGCTATTCCAGCTTTGTTGATCTTCGTACCTTTTTATTCAGTATCCAACGTTCCCACGCTAATACTTTATATACTCAAAGGCACGATGAATGGTGTTGATTCATTGTGCATAATGAATAGATTAGTTTATCAAAGAAATCACTTTAGCATAAACAAAATAGGAACAGCAAAAATCGAAAACCAATATGTAGGAGCAGTTAATAGTAGGCCTTATTTGGCAATATAGTTTTTTACCACGTTTGTTTGCTACAAGTTTTTTTAAAACTTTAACTACATAAACTTCAAAAATTTCTCAAAATTTTTAAACTATACACTTTAAAATATTCAAAAAAACCATACTTCAAAACTTTTTTAAAAACCTACTACGGTAATTACAGTATAGTTTTAGACAAACACCAGAAAAACTCACTTGCCAAACGGAGCCGTAGTTTGAACTGATCATTAGTTACTGAGATAGCCTACGCTGATTTTGCCCTAAATTTGAATACCTACAAATCATTAAAGAACACATATTTAGATTTAAAAATGACATTAGTTTTTAATATTAAATTGGATCTCATGCTTTATGAATAGTAAGATAAGATGTGCATTAAAAGTGCTTATGAAATTAAAACTCTCTTTGGCTTTAAAAAGTAGTAACACTTCTAAATTCTAATATTATCCGTAACGTAATTTCTCTTTGTTACCGTGTAGCACACATTCTAGTTAGTAAACATTCGTATTGCACCTATATAATAGTGTTTATGTGTTTTGTACCTATACAATTTTTAAATTTTCAATCTTGTCCTATAATTGCACCCCTTAAAAATTTTAAAATTTCCTATGTTTTTTTACTTTGTCGCTCAAGTCTTAGAGTCTACGATTAACATTTACTTTATACATGATGGCAGATTCGAAATGAAACAAAGTACTAGTTAAAAACAATAATTTTAAAACTTTTGGCACATAAAAAAAAAAGTTATATACAAGTTTTTTGTTGTCCATTATACAGAATTTTAATTTTCATTTAGTTTTTTTCTAGTGATTATTGTTTTAAAACTCTACACAATTCTAACAAAATTCGCTCGACCATCATATTGGTGAATTTTTTTTTTAAGAAAAAAGTTACCACATTTCAAAGAGTCAATGCAAAGTCCAGTGCAAAAGATCGAGTTTAAGATCTCGAATTTATAAAACGGGGCAGACAAAATGCCCAACAATCATTCTCTAGTAGTTTTGTGATGATTGCAGGCTGATCATTGAACACTTTGAGGCATTCTTCCTCTGTTTCTACACTCAAATTTGCTAAAAGTTCTGCACAGCAATTCGCTTCCCTGAAGACATGCTTAGTGGTAGTTGTAAGGAAGCTCCTCATGATATTCTTGCAATCATTAATCATAGTAGAATAGGTGTAAAAATCATTAGTGTTTGTAGAGATCATATGAACAATCACTGAAGCATCCATCTCAATATGATGGCGTTGAATACTAAGAGATTTTGCCAGCAGAAGCCCATCAATTAATCCCCATAATTCCGCAATTGTATTTGAAGTCCATCCCAGATTTCTACTAAACTCACAAATCCATTTCCCAGGATGATTGCATATGATTCCTCCGGTCCCTGCTAGTCCCGAGTTTCCAAGTAAAGCACCATCAGTGTTGAGTTTGAAGTTACAGGAAGGGGTGGTTCCTAAGCAATCATGGCAAGATCCTTACGTCTGATGGTTTTACTACTTGTGGGTTCTGTGCTTAGGAATTCTGCTACTTTTGCAGTTCTTGTTGAAGAAAGGTTTGGTGGACAGGATTGAGATTCAAACAGAGCCATATTCCTATTCTTCCATAAAATCCAGCAGCCAAATGCTGCGATGGTTCCCCATGATACGCCATAGTATGGTGATAAGTCTGTTATGTTGCATATTTTCTTTAGCCAGGAGCAAAGATTTTGTCATGCGAAAGGCTAAAAATTCCAAGGTACAACTATCTTTCTCCATAAACTGTTGGCTTTAGAACAAAAAAACAGGACTTGATCGGTGTCTTCTCTATTATTATTGCATAAAGGACAACGGATTTTTTGAGTAGATTGCTCTTGGTTGGGAGCTTGTTTTGGCATGCAATCCATAGGAAATATCTTACTCAATTACTAGCCATGATCTTTCCATGTCCAATCCCTCGCTGATCTTTCAACAAGGGGTTTATTTGAGTAAATAAAGTCTACTGCTGATTTAAGGCTAAACTGGCCATTTGGGGTAAGGTACCGCTTCAGGCAATCATCCACAGGAGAGGTATTTTATCTAGGAATGGCCTTAATAACTGTGACAACAAAATCAGGGAGTATTATGGAGATTATGTTGAGATTCCAAAACTCTTTTTTTCCAAACATTTGGGAAATCACCATATTTTCTTCCCTCTAATAAATGGGCCAGCAATTGGTTATCTAAGATGTTGAACAAAAAATTTTGCCTCAAACTTTAAATTGTACACCAAAGTAATTATCCCTCACTAACCTTGGTTTTCCTTTTAAGATAAACAAAAAGGCAATCCTAATTTAGAAATTATACGATAACTCATAAAATATTTCCATAAAAAATATATAGAAGATACTACTACATGAAGAAAGACAAATATTTTATTTCTTTTGGTCGAAGATGGCCTCGAGATTAGCTCAACAATCCTAAATAAACATTGTTTTTCTTTTATGAAAACAACTTAGTGAAAGAGGTTAAATTTGAAATATTGAGAATATGCTTTATTTATCATATAATTTAGAAAAGGCAACTTACCCCGTAAAGTAGAATCATCATAATAGTGGGGCATGTGTACAATTATTCTAAACTTGTGTTGTTTTTCAACGTGCTGAGGGGAAAATTTTACATTAATATATCTCGTGAAAACAGAGCAGAACTGATTTACCTGCCACGTGTAAGTCACGTGACTTAGAAAAGGAGCGGACGATTTGCAATCCCGTCGTTGCAATCTGTAATGGGCAGTTCAAGTTCTTGTCAATCTCGGCCGGTTTACGTCGTAACAATCGTAGTCCAAAAGTAGTATAGACCCAAAACGCACGGACAGATACGTCTATATGCTCAGGGTAGTTTAACTGCTCGAAATTCTGTTGATTCGGACGACGATATTCACGTCAAGAAGAACAAGGAAGAAGAACCAGTTGCAACATAGGAATCGGTGTCGATGACAGAGGACAATTTCCCTAGGGTTTCATCTTCTGAATCTATCGATTCTTCATCGACGAAGCAGAGGTGCTTTAATGTTGTCTATCCTGATTAAGAATCCCTAATTTCCTACTTTATGAGCGTGGCTTTTGGATACTCGTTGAATTATGTTCGGCATATGTTTACTAATCCATTAATCTGCAAGTTGTTAAAAGGTTCAGCTAAGCGTTTATGAATTTTAGCGGGAGAAAGTGTTTCAGTGCTACCGGAGAAGGAGGTTTATACAATGAAATAGGCAAATAAATTGTGTTATTCACTTATTAGTTGTTATTTTGGACTTTGCGGGAATTTATGTTGGATTTTTTTTTTGATTTATTGGTGTCTAATTATTTTTGTTTTCCAAATTTGTCATTCAGGATGCAGAGTGTTACAGTAATTAAGATATTACTGACACAGCAATTGTAATTTCCGACTAGGATGACTTGTTGATATAGGAATTATTGTTGGCTTTAGTTAATGCTGTGAGAAACATCTAGTATTTTCTTGCTTCTTAATGATGTTGATATGTGCAACTGAAGAATTGTTTCTTAAACTTACCTTCACCTGCTGAATTAAAAAAAAAGGAAAAAAGTATTGAAAAGAGAGAAAAATGAAACTTTGAACGAAAAGAAAAGAGAAAGAAAATTTAGGGAAGAAAGTGCAAATCTGTATGAATACTGCACAGCTTCATCAACTTATGGCTATGGTTGCGTGCATGAGCTTCAAGCAGTTTTTGCCATGGCAGTGATAGTAAGTATTTATTTATTTATTTTTGCAGAAAAAAGAGGAAGTGGGATCAGCCTGCTGAGTCATTGTGTTCATCTGGAGTAGCAGCTCCTGGTCTTCTTCCATTACCAAACTTGGGATCCCTTCCTGGAGTTGCATTACCTGGTGTAGCTACAATTCCTAGTGCTTCTTTCTCAAATTCTCTTACTGCTAGTGCGCAACTATTCTGCCTGTTATCCAGTTGCCTTTACAGCAGCATGCGACTGCCATTGCCCAAAAAATAAATCAGGTAAGAGAAAAAATGGTTAAGGAGATACTTTTCCCCTTCCTCATCATGGCTGTGTTTTCCTATTGATAACCTGTTGTGTGTTAAGCTTATCCTTAGACATTAAGTGGGATTAAGCTATTGTATACAATTCCACTGGTGTTAAGCGGCCATCAAATTTCATTTATTCAACTTTCTACAGAAAATAGATTAGTTTTGAGTCACTGATTCCCCTACGCTCTGTTGTGCTAAATAGAAATCGTCTATGTATTGAAAGATATTTATGTAATATTAACTAACAGTTCAAAGAAATTGTTTTAATACCTTTCACGAGCAATCATCACTTCAAACACTACTGGTATGGAACGTATTGCTGGTGGAAGTAGAGGTAGTGAAAAGTTGGTGTGTCATAATGTTTTGTGTTTTGATAAAGTAGAAGGAGAGTTTGTTTGCTGTTTGAATTACAAGACAAAACAATGTTCTGTTCCTGTCACAAATTTTTTATTGTTAGGAAGACATTTAGTAATCACAGTGTCCTAATTGTTTTATCTAGAACCAGAGTGTTTCTTTAAACATATTTGACATGTAGTCCAATTGTGCTAATGTAGCCTAAGATCCAAGATGAACTGATAGCACGAGAAATTGTTATCAATGATGCTGATTCTACTGTGCGCTATAAGCTCACAAAACGCCAGACCCAGGAAGAGGTAATTTTTTATGGCTCCAAATGTTAATTTTTTGATCAAACGGTTTGAGAAACGTGAGATACTTTTTGTTTATTGTGACAAGTGTTTGAGACTTACGCACACTTTGTCCTCCTACAGATTCAGAAGTGTACGGGTGCCATAGTAATTACTAGGTTAGTAGTCTTCTATAGCTTTCTTGAGGACCTTTTTGTTTTTCTGTTTGTTTCATGCGTGACGTGATTGTTAAATGAACTGTGCAGAGGCAAATACAGACCCCCAAATGCACCTGCTGATGGTGAAAAACCATTGTATCTTCATATATCTGCTGCGGCTCATGTGAGTGTTACGCTGTAATTCCATTTTACAACTTGTAAATTCCCTTTGGACTATGAGGAATCAATTTCCAGTTTGCTTAGCGTTTGCATAACAAAATTTTGTCCCAGTGGAGATGGTACTATGTTGACTCAATAGTTGGCAGATGGGAAATGAGTTGATTGTTTTACAAAATATATAAGAGTTCAAGTGTTCCCATGACCAACTCTTCCAAGCTCCTTAAAGTTGGCTTAATGTGTACTAGGCCAAAAGTTTTCAGTGGTAGAGATGGTACCTTCATTAGTCAATTGTCATCATATTTCTTGATAAGATTACTCATTTGTGTGTAACAACTACTGTTAAAAAACCGTTATCATGTTATTGGGTTCCATTTGACAAAAGATTGTGTTGTCTAAGGAGTTTTTTCTAATTTACTTTGGTGCGCTGAATGTACTTATTGGTTAATATCTATGTATTCTTTTGCTTACTTCAGTTGGAAACAACAGCAGAACGGATCAAGGCAGTTGATCATGCAGCTGCAATGGTGGAAGAAATGCTCAAGCATGGGTCTTTCAGCAATACCATGAATGTAACAATTCATTTATTTATTTTTTATTTGGCAAATCTGTTCAAAGATGCAGTACCAAGAAATTTGATAAGCACAGTTGTCTTTTTTTGATCAGGTCAATCCCTCACTGAGTGCTTGTGTGTTTTTGGGCTTTGAAGCAGATCCCTCTCTGAATATTGCTGCTCGAATTCGTGGACCAAATGTGAGTTTTTAGTTCATTCTCTTTTTGTATCTCCTTGTTATTTTCTCCTTCTCCTGCTCTTATCTTCTTTGAAGGTGGTTGGAAGTTTTTCCTTTCTTTCCTTGTATTTTTTTCTGTTTCTTTGCTGCTGGCGAAATATTCTGATCTTTCAAGCTCTCTCTGACATCTCCAAACAATTGGGAGAGATTCTTTTTGTTGCTGCTTGTTGGCTTTTTTATGTGCAGGACCAGTATGTAAATCACATCATGAATGAAACGGGAGCAACAGTTTTGCTAAGAGGACGCGGTTCAGGATATTGTGATAGTGTACAGGATGATGGTAGTCATTTGCTTTAACCAGTTTTATTTTTTGATCTGTTAGGTTCTCTCTTCATTCTTAACGTGCCTTTGAGTCCACAGCTTTTACTCTCTTTGTAGAAGGTCAACAACCATTGCATTTACTTTTGTCAGCAGTAATGCAAAAAGTCTTGAACGTGCTAAGCTCCTTGCTGAGAACCTTTTGGACACAATCAGTGCAGAGTTTGGTGCATCAAGGTAAATGGGCATAATTAGCTTTCTGTAATTATTTATTGAAAACAGAAAAAGCAGAACTGAGATCACTAAAAGGAGAGCTGCATGCTTGGGTTGGACGGTAAAGCAGTTTCAACCCTTTATCTGTTTATACTTTTTGTCTTGTCTTAAATTGGAAATGACAAACATGGTTCGTGTTATTTTATCAATCTTTAAATGGAAACCAGAAGCCTCTCATACCTTATAAGACATTCTATTCTGCACTGTTATTTGACAATATTTGTTATTGTTTACTCTTGTGATATACTGAGCTTGTTAGTGCTTCTTAAAGAGAATAACTTGTTGCTGTGCTGTATTTCAAAGGGTTTCCTCATCTAAAGTTTATGGTGCTGTTCCTCCGCCACCACAGTTACTTGCTGGAGTTCAGAGTTCCTTGGATGAGTCAAACCCAAGTGTCCCACGTCTGCCAGCTTGACGGCATCAGCTGCACGGTCCATTCCATCAACAGTTTCATCAATCTCAATTCCTGGTGCATCTAGTATTGCTTCTCAAGGGCCTGTACCACATGCTGGATGCTCAAATCCTGCATCTGGGCTGTCTCATGCGATTACTGGTGGTTATTCCCAGTCTTCATTGACTGGTGGGACGAGCTATAATGGTTATGATGGAATATATCCCCAAGCAACACCTTTGCAACAAGTTGCCTTGGCCCTTAGGCAGTCAACTTCACCAGTTACTACTTTGTAGCTCCTGCTGTTACAACTGCGAGCACAGCATCATACACAAGTACGTGCTCCTCATCAGAGAAGGATAAGCGCTCTTCACAGAAAAGAAAGTTTCAGGAATTACCAGCAGTAGTTAAAAGCCTAGCAAATACAAACCAGGTATTGGTGGTCATTCTCCGATTTATCATTTTCTGTGGTAGCTGCTACTGTTTGACAGATTTTCAAGTTTAAACAGCCCCTTCCCACTGAAAGGCAAAAAGGGAAAGAAAAAAAGGGCTACAGAAAAAGAAGAGGATAAGAAAGAAAGAATTCAAATTTACTCTTAAAATGTTCTCATCATCCATTACGTACTGATGTCTTGCTTCTGGAACTGTTTCCCTATGTAGTAGTATTGCTACTACAATGTTATTTATTTTCTCACTTTATTACTTCTTGTTCCAGGTATTTTCTCTGATCTTTTATGAAGCTAACAGGCTGATACTGGACTTCTCTCGTGGACACTAATGTGTTTCACAGGATTCCTTGTTCTGGAGGTGGCATGGGTTGCTCTATGCTGTACCATTTTCGTCTGGACTGAATAAGATTGTGATTCCCTCTGGCGCAGAATTACATATATGCTCCTGTCTTTCTTTGTGGATCATGCATTGTTTGAATTTGTTTATTTTTAATTTTTAAGGAGTGATCATAAGTGTTGGATTTGGTAATTTAGCTGCTTCACTTCATTCATCTCCTAAATGCTTGAGGTGGCTTTGGATTGATTTTAGTTGCCAATCTATTGGAATCACTCATTTTAATTCTGGCTTTAATCTTTATTGTGCAACTACCCTAAAAACTACATGATTAATTCACAGTTTACACAAAGTGATGGCGTAATGCTACATGTGGCCTTCCTTTGAGCCCTTGTATCACTTTAGTAGTTTCTGTGGCTGCTTCTACTCGTGGGTATATGTTTTCTCTATATTCCAGATGCGGAATATATCATCAAGACCTTAAGGCGTCAAAATGTTTTGCTGTATTTTGTTTCTTATTGCCACATTTTCTGCTGATATTAAGGATTTGTTTGGAACCTTTCTTGAAACTGTTACAGGGATCAGAACTTGCAGAGCCATGTGAACAAACATCAGATATACATGGAAAAGATATTAAAAGGTTGGTGCAGACATCAGCAAATGGAATAATTCCAACCTCTCCAAGAACAATGCCCCCGCCAACAATGCTGCCACCCCCACCAAAATTTACTACATCAAGACCTGGAATTTATGGTGGCAACAGCATCAAAATGGCTTGAAATCTGAAAGTGTACCTGGTAGTTTCATGGTTTCTTTCCTTTTGGTTTCTGATTTTGAGCCTAGATTGTAGAAAAAAATATATACTAATTTCCTATAGAACAATATAGCTGGTTGCTTGCGGATCTTTGGAAGATGCTTGTTCTTGAAACTTTTTGACTTTCAGTAATATAAGCTTTGAGATTTATGCTTGTCAAGTTTTAATGAAATGTCAGTTTACATGTGCCTCAACTCCCCCCTCCCCCAAAAACTTTTTCTCTCTAGAGTTGTTCCTTATATTCCACGGTCATCATTTCAGATACATTAATCAAGTTAATGGAATATGGGGATGAGGATGAGGATGATGATCTTGGTGAACCAAATGAAGACTCCATCAAAAGATGCTCCAGTACTTTGGTGGCTCCAAAACCATTCTGGCTGTCTGAATCGTATGTAGCATCATTGTCTGGCCTCCCATGGAGATTTTGGCTGCATATTCTTCTTGATGCTGTAGGCTCTTATGCGGAATTTCAGTTTTAGAATGTGGTAAAATTTTGGTATACTTCATGTTCTGTGCAATTTTGTAGCTCTATTTCATTTTTTTTTTGGGTGGAATTCTTGAAGATCTGTTGTGCTAATGCGTCACTTTCTTACAAAGAATGGATACGGTGTAATAGAGATTATCCAGTTTTATTTCCGGGAAGGTTCTTGTAGTAGATTTGTTGATCATGTCACTGAGGCAGCAAAATCAAGACTTCAAATGAATCAACAACAGCTAGAGGTATTGAAAAACCGGCAGCGCCATTTGGAAAGTTAACAGTGCAGAATTTTCAGTTACCGGAGTCCTGGAGGCTGGTTGTGGCCTTGCAGCTTTATTTCCCTTTGATTACAAGATTGAGATGAACCTACCTTTTACATTCCAAATTTTTTAAAAATCATGAGCGCTGTTTCTATGCTTTTGCTCAATATAGAAATACCATTGGACAAACTTCAAACGCGGAGAGCATTAAATGGAGCAAGCCGGAGTGCAACTAGTAAACAGCCAATTCAACTTTGGATTTTAATTTTTAATTCTTGAGCGAAACAAGCAACCCCCGTTGGACTAATCTTAGCTGGTAGCAGCTAGCGGAGAGGAATCACCATATTGGATCTTGACGCTCTCATTAAACGCAGCCGCACAGAGAAAAAAGAAACAGAGGAAAGCGTGGCAAACCCCACTTTCTGCCTCTCCGTTTTCTTCGTGCACAGCATTACACTAGGATTGTGGACAAGAACATAGAGCAGGTAAGGGCCGGTTACACAGCAGAACTACGACATCCCGGTATCACTTCACACCAACAGTAATCACGGTAAGAACTAGCGTATGGCTTTGTTCACATGTACCAATACGGGGACAGCAGCAAAGGAGACAACGGGAATCACCTCCAAAACAAATCTTCGGATAAGATTTCATCGACCATCACTAATTAGAAAATTGAAAATTAAACCTACTTGGGACAAAACACATGCAGCATTCAATGCTTTAATCCCGTGTGGTTTCTCGCTTCCCTTTCCAAAGAAAGGGTCCAGCCTTTCAGCTAATAAACCACGAGAAAGCATCTGCATGCATAACACACAGCATAGAAACACTTTATTTGGATTATCTCTTCAATTCCTCGCCCTAGCACTAGATTTGTGTACAAGCAGGTTCTTGATAGGGGAAAAGAGAACTTTCAGCCCCTTGTGTTGACGTAATCGGGAATCATCTTCATCATCATCATTATCCTTGTAGTTTGCGTTCAGTGTGTCTTGGCCAAAATCTTCGTCAAGAGCATCTGCTCCCCTTGATTGCCACTCAACTGTTCCTGAGCTTGTCCATATGGCGAGGTATTTCCATCAAAACCAGAGTTTGCAAATCCACCTTGATTAGATGAATCACTGCTCAAGTAGTGGCTATCTCCACTAGCACCAAAATTGCCAGCGTTCCCATCACCAACTCTACTTCCGTAATTGCTGCCACTGAACCCATCCATCCTGCCATCCCCACTAGCATATTGATTGCTATTTCCATAGTTTCCACTATCATATCCACCTCTTGGGCCACCACCTCCATAACTGCCACTTGCATATCCTCCAGGGCCTCCATAACCACCATTTCCACGACCATAGTTAAAGCCGCTGCCGCCGCCACCATAGCCACCACTAAATCTTGGAGCCCGAGGCCTGTCATTTGCATAATTCACCCTTATCCGTCGGCCATGAAGATCCTTAAGGAAAACAAATCATACTGTTAGATTCCCGAATGTTATGGTCGGTAAACCTTTCACCTTACACAACAAAAGAAGTTATTTGGTAAAAGAGACAGACATGCAGAACTAGTCTTACAGTGGAAAACAGGAGCACAATTTCAACCAAAAAAAAGAAAAAAGCTAATTACATAGACATTCTGCTGATATCCAGATATAACTTTATTGTAAGTTATTCAACAATGGCGAACCCTTGAGACAAATTTATCACATTGCCTCTTTGGGGACATGCAACTCAACCATTCAGTCAGTCAGTCAGGCAGGCATCTCCACACTTCATTAAGATAATTGATTTAAGTCATTCGAATGATCTCTCTTTCTACTGCAATCATCCGAGTCAAGCATAATAGTCATCTATTTCGATACGGTTCACTCATGTACAATGTTGTATACAGGATGACAACCACTAATCATGAAAAGAATAATTCAGACAGCTCCTCTCTTCTCTCTGCCTAAAATCAATTGAAGTGTTTTGTCAATTTCAGCGTAGCATGTGTTCAACATCCCCCATTTTATTTTCTCAAATTCAAGTCTTTTTTTATTTTATTACTTACGCAAGATATTTGTGTACTTCTTCAAAAAGTTTTTTTCTTGTTTGAAAAAGTTTATTTTGGTTTGTATACTTTTTTTTTAAAATTATTTTTAAAACCACCTTCTTGCAGAGCTTGACCAAAAAAAGTATTGAATTTTGTAGTATTGATGGTAATATTTTTAATTTTCTCCCGTTAACTAACCTCATGCAATATACATAAACATAGCCAGAAATGTAACTTTGAGGAGCAAATTAAATTTATAGATATTTTTGAAATTCTAGTGGGGAGCAAAAATAATACTGTAATTCATAAAGGACATTGATTGTTGAATTTTTTTTTTAATTTTTTGAGGGAAAAAAACTAGATTTTCTAAGTTTTTGGGGACCGCCCCCCTAAGACCGTCTATGGCGATACAGGATTACTATATCAACAGATAAGAATGCCTTCATTTTGATGTGCTAACCCGAACATTTATCTCGCACCTGATTTTCCATAGTGTTGTTGTTAACTAGCTATTTTGGGATTAGTGACAATTTGATAGTAATTTTGTCTTTCAACTATTTTCTACTATCTTTCTTTTCTAGCTACCAGATCAACTCGTGCAGAATTAGTGTTGATCAAAATGGAGAATGAACTTATATATGATTTTACAGATTAAGAGCAATTATCGACTAAATGGTCACGAGTTTATTGATTAATTGTTTAGTGGTTAATTACTGACGAAAAAAGTTTGATGGCCAAAACATGATCTGACTAATAGTTTAGTGGCCGCTGAGATTTTTACCCTAAAATAAATAACCAAAAGAAGCAAAACTATAAAAAAAACCATTAGTACCTGGCCATCAAATGCCTGAATAGCTGCTGAAGCCTCCTCACTAGAGCATAAGTTACAAAGCCAAAACCTCTTGAGTTTCCATGGTCACGATCCATGATAATTCTAGCTGTAAGTAAAGTGTATAAATTAATAAGTAACAGAAGCTTTATACTTGGATACAACATTGTTCCCATTGTAAACTAATTTCTCATGCAGGATCTAGAAATCTCTCTGTGTCAATCTTTTTTTATCAAGATTGCTTTCTACAGTACCAACAAATAAAAACAAACACGAAACTTGCAGAACAGAAAAATTCCAAGCTTTGCCCCATTGCATACAAACATACACAGACAAAAATTTTGTATCGAGATACAAGGACACGTGATCTTTAGAAATGAAAAACTATTCCTCAAGATCTACATGGAAATCTCAATTTTGGGTAATATTTACTGGTTCGCAAGATTATCAAACTCATTTAAATGTCAGAGGTCAGACAAGTGTATCAACCACAAAAAAAGTATGACAGAAATCAAGGGATCGATTATGATGGTGCGAGCAAACTGCTGAATACCTTCAACAACTTCGCCATGCTGAGAGAAGGCTTCCTTCAAACTCGTCTCATCAGTGTTGTAAGAAAGCCCTTCAGGAATAAAACATCAGTTGACTTTGGAGAGCAAAAAGCAGCAGAAAGAAGAATTTTGGAAAAAAAAAAAAACAGAGAGAGAGAGAGAGAGAGAGGAGTGAACATATTACTCCAACAAAGAGCTTTGAAGATGACATGCTTCTTATAGTCTGGTAAAGTGACGAGTTGGAAGCAGATAATTCCAAATTCATATGCCTGCTCACTCTCAGTTTAAGCACATTGCTAATTCTATTGACAAAAGCCATGTCTACACCTAGAACAAAGTACACAAAGTCATTGCCATTATTTCATAATAAACCAGTTGCAGAACAAAGCCAAGAACAATATACACACTGAACTTCAGAACACAGGCAAAGGAAAACTTTACAAAGAAATAACCACAATTACTGCATGGGACAAGGTGAACAAACATATTCGGAGACTTTAGAGAATCATATGGGTCAAGAAAGATCGCTTAATTTCTTTCATACGAGCGAAAAACAACATGATAGGTGTACCAGCAGTAGGATGAGAAAATCTAGAAAATAGCCCAATTTTTTTTTTGTTGAAATCAAGCCCAGTAACTTGAGCGAAACAAGGAATGTGATATAGTACAACAAGAACCCATCTTTTTCCAAACGGACAAACGATTTGATAATACGCAAGGTACCTAAACCAAATGCATGATATTACTAAAGCCCTTCGTCTTAATCAGGAAATACACACAAGCCCCAAATTGAATTGCAAGTAGTCAACAAGAGGGTACAACCGCAAATAAAATCTAACGAATAAAAGTGATAAAACCATAACCCTTAAAAGAAGCTCAACAATCGCGATAAAACTGAAATGAAACGCTAAATTAGAACAGTAGAATCAATATTCTAAACATTTCTTACTATAAAATGTCAAGAAAAAGGTTTACGGTTTTTGGGAGAAGACGTATGATTAAGTGCCAAAAGACTCAGACCTTCTCTCTGACAGCGGCTGCCTCTGCTTCCGTTGTCCCTTCCCTTCCGGAAATGGACCTGCGAGGGTTTTAGGAGATTTACAGTGGCAGAGGGCCGAAATACTTTATAATGGGGGGAGGAATGTTTACGCCGTTGATCTAAACTACATAGGTACATGATTACCGTTGGATGGCCAGTAAATAATGAGGTCAAATTCAAGGTCGATTTTTCTTTAATTTTTTTTTTTGACGAGAATGAAATTGATCACATTAAATTATCCATCCATCATGTTGGGGTGAAAAGAAATGAAAATCCCTCAAAATTGACTTAATGATGAATAATCCTTGATGTTCCTGAATTCACTTACCTCAAAATTTTCCTAGTTTGTTAAATAGAATTAAAAAAATGTATCATGAGATAGATTAAAATTTATGCCAATAAAAGTTATTGAGTAAACTATATGTAGTTAGCAATTAAGAGTGAAGTAGAGGGAAGCAATTAAAATCCTGTTGAACATTGAAATCTGTGAAAGTGTTCAATTGAATGGAGATGGAGGCCGATGACCCATCACATTACATCGTTGGATACAAATGAAAACTTATTTGATTGCATTATA